TAAGGAGTTACTTTTTACTTGTTACTCATTTTAAAAATTAACAATATTATTTATTTATTAAAGAAAACTCATTATGTTACAAGTACTTTCAACCACCGCGCCCCAACATTAAAAGAGACGGGAAATCTGTTCAGCAGCTTATTTTAGAAATGAATCCACTTCACTGGAGCAATAATGAACCTGAGGAGGCAACAAGCAGCCGAACTGGAAACACTGCAGCCTCTTATTAAAAATAATAAAAAACAAAGCAGGGCCCTCCTGACTTTTTAACTGATCACTTATTCATAACAGCAACGACGAGGATGATTTTTACAGTGCATAACATTTCTTTACATCAAAAAACAAAGCAAGTCTCTCCTGACTTTTCAAACCAGTCTTCATAACAGCAACAATGTTTTTAACGCCTCTGTCTGCGATAACAAAATAAAATCACGCAAGCGTCTCGACGTTACTGTTTTGCACGTGTGTTTATAAGAGAAGTATTAAGTGCTTTCACAAAACGTTGACTGACGCCACTCTGTTTCACGTTTCTTAGCACATGCTTCTTGAAAGCTTTCTGCTGGTCTCAGCGTTTACGGAGGGCCGTGTTCTCTGCACCTGTGTGACACACCAAGTTTGGTCTGATGACTTCCAGCTGTGGAAAGAACGCCTCTCTCCCTCGTTCTTCCTTTAGCTTCTTGGCTAGCAGCTGACTTGTTACGTCCGGTGTCGCTGACCTGCAGCGCGGTCGCCCATGTCATATATACAAGAAACCCGTCTATACTCGAAAGAAATAACAATTTGATACTCATCATGATAATTATCGATATCAGAAGTTTTATCGTGATAACATTTTTGGCCATGTCGTCCAGCCCGAGGGTCAAACATGTTTGATATATCCACAATCTGTGGATATAACGTGTGACCTTCAGATCCTGTCTGCCAGCCCTTCACCCTACAGGGTCATTTGGGCTGAAAATCTGCGTTGACCAGCCCGGGTCGGGAACGTCCCCGCCATTGTGCGAGGGACAATCTGACCCTGTAGTGAGCAGCCTGGTGTTTCTGTGTGGACCAGGTTCTCTGTGATCCGACACACCGTTAAATCCTCGCTGAGCCGTCTGACAGCACAAACAACTGAATCACAGAGCAGGAGCAGCCCGAACACACAGCTGCTGTCGTTAACCTATATTTATATTGATTTGGTCGGAGACTGCCGGGACGCCCGTCCCCCTCGCCATCATGTTTTCCAACTGAAAAGAGGCCGTAGAAGAAGAGCGACTGCTGTTTCCTGTTGTTCGCAGTCGTTATCGTTCTAACAGGAACATGAATAATTTGTGGGTAAATGAATAAAGGTCAGACAGGTTTTTCATCGTTGTGCTGAACTGATTATTTGATGAGTCAGTGGACAAAATGTTTTGATGGCACATAAATACTTTGTCAAGAAAAAAAGACGTTTCTCTGTTTCATGTCGTCGTTAGTTAAATATCTTTTTATTCTAAGATCTCACTTCAGCATCTTGACCCCCATCACCCATTACAGAATTTATTGCCAAATTTGGGACACTGATCCTTCGTTCTGTACCCACAGTGTCTGAATGGGCCCAGAATACTTCAGCCAGACAGAGTTCTGGTTATCAGTCGGCTTTAAATTCAGCTTCCAGTGTTTGTCACCGGGCTGGAGTTTCCCCTCCTGGTGGGGAAATCCCCAGCGTTTCCTCCCTGTCTGCGTTCGTCACTCCCAGCCAGGCTTTAATATTTATCTGCTGCTTATCGCTGTATTTTACAATTACAATACAACAATTATTTTCATTATTGACTAATCTGTGGATTATTTAGTTTAAACTATAAAATGTCGAGAAATTGTGAAAAATGCTCATCCCAATTTTCCACGTCCTCAATTCAAAACCCAAAGACTCTTCATTTAGTGTTAGAAATGACAAAGAAAAGCAGCAATTCCTCACATTTAAGAAGATGAAACCAGCTAATTTTTCACATTTTTGCTTAAAAAAATGACTTAATCGATTATCAAAATAGTTTCGACTAATCGTTGCAGCTCTGTGTCAGATTCAGATATAAATACAGCCAGTCAGCTGAGAGCAGCGCTGCCTCTGTGTTTGTACACAAACGTATGGGTACGACGGTGCAGATAATGTACTTTTAGAAGTATATTCAGAGTAAAGTGTCTGTTTGAAGTGTTGGGCTGGGCAGTAAAACAATAATGATAATTACAGAATTTTCCTCAATAACAATATAATAAATGTTAAATATATCGTCAGCAAATATTTGGTTTAATTCTTTTGAATCACGAACAAATTAGCACTTAATTTTTCTATTAAAATATTTTATTTTGTTGAGAAGAGGAGGCCTAAAGAAAGATGAACTAATCATATTTGTTGAAAAAGATTTTATCATAATAGTTGTGAATGTTCACCTCAGACTTGTGAAGTCATCCATGTGAACCATCTGGTTTCTTTAACATTTACTCAGGACCAAAAATCAGCCTTTAAACAAAATAATGATTTGACATTTGTCGTTAATAGTAATAATAATAATAATAATTATCGTGATAACACTTTCGGCTTTATTGCCCAGCCCTATTTAAATATGGGAACTTTTATAATGCATGTAAATATATTTGTGATCAAACTTTTTCTAATCAATATATCAACTTCTGATCAATTTCAGGCTTAAATTCACTTCCATTAAGCGTGCGTGTTACAATACCGTGGTTCCTACTACTAAAGATTATTTTCATTTCGTTCTTTGTTGATTAATCGATGAGTCGTTAGATCCAGAAAATTGTGCAAAATGTCGATCACTGTTTCCCAAAGAGAAAGATGACGTCTTTAAATGTCTTGTTTTGTCCACAACCAAAATATTTTCAGTTTACGAGCGCAGAGGAGCAAAGAAACCAGAAAATAATCACATTTGAGAAGCTGGAAGTGTTTTTCTGTATAGCTGTCCTCTGTGTGTTTGTGTCTGACTCGTGAAGAGAAACAGAAACTGCTTTTTGACCACAGAAACCAGAAGTTCTCACCCAAGCCAGGCTTAGAGTAGGAATCTGTGGTCTCGAGTGATTTATTGAAGAGAGAGAGAGAGAGAGAGAGAGAGAGAGCTGGTTTGTGACAGATAATGTACATTTAGCACGCAAACGTATAATGAGGGATCTTTTATGAACACTGACGAGATGTTTTTCTCTCCGCACTTCATCGGGCCTGTGAACACATGCAGTTTGTGTAGTAATTGGAAAGACGATCAATACATGAACAAATGGCTTTTAATCAATAAAGGCAGAGCAACTAAATAATAATTCCATATTGAGATAATACATCAAATAATCATCATAATAATGTACAGTGATTCATGCATTTGGATTTATTCCCTCTCTATTAATAAATCACATTGTACACAGGGACTAAAGCGGAACCCAAAACACATTTTATTATCTAATAAGTGTAATTTGAGGATACAAATAAATCATAAATCATTTTTTTTTCTGACAGTGTAAAAATGTATTAGTGTAAAAAAATGTGGAGAAATCTTTATTATTATTATCTTTATAAGTATTTGTCTTTGTGGCAGCAGTTTCAGTCTGGAACAGTTGTGTTTGTTTCAGGGGGCGGAGCTAGGCTGTCAGCACAGTGTGGGGGGGCGGAGCTTCATCGTGGTTTCCACCTGCTACAAAGACACATTAACCCAGTTTACTTGAGCCCAGACTCGCTCTGAAAGTCCACAGAGTCTGTCTGCTTCGCCAAACGCACCAGAAGCGCTGCAGTGCGTCCAGGAAGCGTCCCAGCGTCAAGCAGCGCAGCGCAGATGAACCGGGCAGGAAGTCAGACATTTTCAAAATAAAATATCCGTTACAGACTTCCGATCGTATATCAACAATAAACACAGTTCAATCGGGCAAAAAAGAAATTTAATCACCAAATCGACAAAATCTAAACGTGTCGGCAAAGTCCGGCAGGTAAACCGCTCTTATTCTGAAATGCTCCCTGTGGTATTTGCTAGACGCACCCGTCAAGACGAGGAATGAAAGTGAGCCACAGCGAGCTCTGAAGAATGTAGTGGAAGCACAAAAAGAACAATTAAAACCACGAGGGGCAGGCTGCACGCTCCGCTGCTGAAACGCTCCTGAGAGGCTTCCAGAGGAAGTTGATGCCGTAAATAAACCTCACAATTCCCATGATGCATGAGGGTGAAGGAGTTTTGTTAAAATGTGCTAATACGTTTGCCATTTGTTTGAAGTACAAATGTTACTTTATGATTTATGTTGATTAAATCTAGTGTGTTTGTTGGTAGTCGTCCTTCTTGTGGTGGTTTACCGTTGAAACCAGGAGTGAAGGGACTGTTTCGTTTGATAAGAGCTGCTGAATTCTCCCGGTACAGCGTATCGTCATGTACCGTTATTGTTTGTTTGTGTCCACTATAATCAGCTGAGCTGAACTTCATAGTCGTCGTTCTTCAGTCAAAAGGAAAATGACTTTATGAAGCGCTGCAGAAAGCCCCCCTGCATGGAGCTGAAATAATTGGTGCGTTAACTGATCCACAGTCAATCAACACGAAATAAATCTGCAAACATTTTGATAATTAAATAATAAATTGAGTCAAAATGTCAGCAAAACTGAGAAATAATGTAAATTTCACAGTTTTCAGGTATCGATTACACCTCATTCTGCAGCAGTGGAAGGAAAGTGAACCATGTCTACAGTAAACAGCTTGGATCTATTATATATAACATTAAAGAAGGCAGTGAAATAATGAACAAACCTCCGTCATTTAATTGTTTATTTTAGATCTCAACATGTTTTGGTGACGGAAACGTTTTTAACTTTTGCTGCTGATTTTTGTACCAATTCAGGTTTACAGAAGAACTACAAACATGGCGGCTGTTCTAACACTTTTAACCGGCAGTGGACGTGACAAACGTGTGTTATAAGGCTGGCTGGATCCCACAGTGTGAAGTTAAGCCCGTAGGCGACGAGAGAATTCACTTCATATTTCTGCTGTTTGTCTTTACAGGTGACCGGACGAATACAGAAGGAGCTCAGATGGAGTTTAAATCCAAGCAGTGGTTCGGTGCCTCGGTACGATCTAATGGAGAACACATCCTGGTGAGAATCACTACACACACACACACACACAGATATATATACACACTCTATAATGTTATATTTGTATTCTGTCTATATTAGGAATGAACGTTTGGGGGAAAAAATCTAATTGTGATTTTTCTGCCAGATGTTGCGATTAGATTTTTTTAAATTGAAGTTTAGCTAAAGTTCAATATTCACTGCAAGTCTGTTTTTGACTGAAGCCGCGTCAAGTAGCACAGAGCAGATGAACCAGACAGGAAGTCGGACACAGAACGGCAGAGAGAATCTGGCCAATTTTCAAAATAAAATACCCATTGCAGGCAAGAATCCCAGAATCGTGCATCCACAATAAATACAGTTAAAACAGACAAATTTAACTGCGTAGCTACTTAACCATGGTGGAAGCACAAAAATCAAGGACAACTGAACAAAAGTCAGCAAAATCAGACAGACAAAACGCTCTTATTCTGGAGACTCACAGACGTTTATGCAGCTTTAATGCTTCTGATGTGTGTCGCAAAGAGCTCACGAAGAAAAAAAACTTATTCAAAGCATTATTAGTTATATTAGACCACAAACCGACCACGTGTTCTGAATGATGACGTAGAAACAGGAAGAAGAGGAGGACAGGAGTGATTCAGAGATTATTACTCTCTCAAAATGTTTCATAGACTGACAGAGTTAGCAGGCCCATTACTATTATCACATTTTAACAGCTTTTAACCTGTTAATCAGGGAAAATACCCTCATGGACATGAAACATCAGCGAGGTTGGTTCATTTGCTTTCACACCACAAGCAAACCGCACCAGACCACCTCTTCAAGGAGGTCTCGGTACGCTTGTTTGGTGAGCAAACGAGTGCAATTGCTGCCTTCACACCTTCCCAAACGATCCGCACCAGCAGGTGAAAGGAATGAGCGAACTAAATGAGGCAGGTGTGAGAGCCCTCTTTCATAAACTGATTGTGCAATAAAGGACTGTCTTTATCGTGTCTTGTGTTCTGCAGGCCTGCGCCCCCCTGTACCAGTGGTCCACCTTCGGCGTCTCTGAGCGAGAGCCGGTGGGAACCTGTTTCCTGAAGAAGGGGGACACCGTGGTCGAGTACTCGCCCTGCAGATCAAGTGCGTCCCCTTCGTCTGTCTTCTCAAACAAACATTAATCAGCCAACATCACACGCGGACAGACGATCTTTAACCCTCCGTCAGCTGAGGACACACGGCCGGGACAATAAAACACCAACAGCTGCTTCTTAAAAACAGCTAAATAAATTCTAATTAACGCAGTTGACGTGAGAGGAGCAGGAAAACTCTGCAGCTGCGTCACTTTAGAAACACCTGATCCGTATCTTTGTTCAAGCAGCAGTATCTAAGTGGGTGTAGATGCAGCTGATGCTAGCACCAGGTTAGCTTCCATAAGGCCTGTTTCACCCCCCCTCTCTGAGGTGAAATGTGACGTCACTTCAGATTCTAGCCAGAGTAATGTGAGATCCCGATTGTTCCGGCTGTCTGTCTTTTCGCTGCTTTTATTATATTGGGTTTGAGAAGCAGTCAGAGTTGATGGTAAATGAGAATAAAGCTTTTATAATTGTACTTTCAGAGCTCTGACTGCTTCTGTTTCTGTTAAATATGATTTAACGTTGCTGTTTTACTTCTCTGCCCAGGTGCCAACTCACCAGAGGGGCAGGGCTTCTGCCAGGCGGGCTTCAGTGCCGACTTCCTGAAGGTAGGCAACCAAGACCAACTTGTTTATATAGATACATAACGATGAATGAAAGTGGAGAGTGAACCGTAAAACAATATCATCAACGATGATCATTTTACAGTATGTGAGATATTACAAGGCAGTCGGCTCTGATGCATCTTCATCTCTCTAAACACTTTTAAACCCATAAACGGGTGAGAGGCCAGATGTTTATTGTCAGAATGTCTTTAGATCCTGTTTAATGCAACCAGGAAGCCCTGTGTTTCTAGCCTAGCTTAGCATAAAGGTTGGAAAAATACACCTCATGCTAAAGGTTAAAATGCTCACCGTAAGAAGACAGTTTGTGTGTTCGACTGTAACATGTCGTCATATTAAAACACCGCCGAGGATGGTCCAGGATCCAGGATGGTCCAGGATCCAGGATGTGTTTGGGTCTGTGTGGTTGTAGAGGTGGAGGTGTTGTCAATAAACTTTTCCACATCTGTGGAGTAAGAACTGACCTGAGGGGCCGAATAACAAGTGAAAGTAAAACAATTGTCCCTCTGTGTTTTTGTGGTTTCAGAAGGGCAACAGAGTGGTGGTGGGAGGACCTGGCAGCTTCTACTGGCAGGGTGAGTGTGCTGTTCTAGTCTCACAGCAGGTTTAAAGAGGAAGGAACGGAGCATGCTCAGTCCGTCTCTCTACGCTCCTCTCATGTTCTCTGTGAATAACAAACGTTGCAGGAGGAGGATTCCCCCAGAAATGTTGTGGTTGTGTTGAGACGGCAGCTTCCTGTTCTCAGGGTGTCCAACAGGACGCTTCCTCTTTAATACAGCTCAGATCGCACTGTCCCGCATTTTAATCGCTCATGATAACAAAGTGCTCAGTGGAGTTTGTGACCACTCGTAGTGCTATGGAGCACGATGCACACTCAGTAGGAACCCGCAGTCAGGTGAAAATACTGACTTAGCATCTCAGAATAATGACTTAACATGCTAAGAGATGCTAAGTCATTACTTTGAGACTGTTTCTCATTAAAATGACTTACAGCAGCGGTCGGCAGTAGGCGGCCAGATCGCTTTGATAGCAGAAAAATAAAAAATAAATAAATTGATAGCGGCTGGTGCTGAAACAGATCTCAGTCGTGACAGCTGCTCACATGATCACTTCCTATAAACTTGGACTTTATGCTGCAGCACCACAGCTAATAAGTCCCAGCTGTAGTAATCTGCAGGCATTTGTTAGCAAACATTTTCAAGCAGAAACTGATATTAATTAATTCCAGTAGCACTTACAGTGATTCTTTTGGGTTAGACACTGCAGAGTGTCTCTTTCAGAGAAGCCCAAAACCAGGCAGATACTCCAAACGGTTCAAGAACTACATTCAGTTTACTTTGGATCTGCCTTGAACAGCGTTTAAAACGAATCTTACAGGAATGTTAGGAGGTTAATGATGCTGGTTATTGTCTTTACTCTGAACAAACCACAGACTGAAATTGCTTTCCTCTTCATCTGCTGAAGAACAAACACCTGGAGGTCCTGCTCTGGTAGAAAATAGTAACGTTGATCCTCTGAAACGTCCCAAACAGCAGATCGTTGATGACGTGTTGGTGTTGTGGTGGTTTGGGAAGCTGCTGCATCAGCGTGAGTAGCACGCTGTGTTGTGTCATCGTGGTCACGGCCTCCTGTGGGGATCAGGGCGCCGCCGGTACAGACGAATCATCTAGGAGTCATGTGATGTTTCTGCTGACTCTGCTCATGGGGAGCAGCTTGGTTGATCACCTCGTGGGCCTTTTCCCTGCAAGGTTTCACCAAGACCGACTGTGATTGGCTTGTGTCAAACTAACCACGCGCAAATCCACTGAAGCTGCGTTCAGATCAAAGTGACCCAGATCTGATTTGTTTCTAACAGTGTGTGAACTCTGATCTTTTCCAGTTCAGATTTGAGCCACTTTCATATGTGGTCCAAATAAGATCCAGGTCTGATTGTTAATAATGCGACCTCGGTCTGGACGTCAGATCGGAGTTCGTGTGACGCTGATGTCACTCTAGAGCGACCGTCGCCACAATTCTGCGCTAGAATGGAAACAAAATTAAACATGTTTCTCCTCGTCCTCACCTGCTCACAGATTCACTTTCTTCCACCTTAAATCCACCTTAAATCCACCGGGTCGCCAGCTCTCTGCTGAGGCACCTGCATGCTACCTGTCCAGGTTAGAAAAGGACAGAAAGTTGTGAACATTTGTCATAAATGAGCAGAATGTGACCCCGGGTTAGCGAGTCTGAGCTAACGTGAGCTAGCCTCTGTGGCTCCTTGTTTACTTCTGTACGACAGCTGCTGCTGCTGCGTGTGATGCCGTGTTATTAGTCTGTGCCAGGCTGCTATAATGTGAACTGTCAGTCATAAAAATCAGAGCTGGGCATTAAATGTGTTGAGCATTAAGAGAGAACACAGATCTTTTATGCGAACCTTCCTTTTCAAGCAGTCTTGATCCGGTTGGCAGCTTTCACAGCAGCTCAAACGAACTGGCGCACTAACCGGGCCGACGCACCAGGGCTCATTTTATCTGAACCACGTCAGGTTCAGAAGGTCGGTGTGACTTACACTTTGTCTTTATAAAAATTTTCTTCAGCATCACAGCTGATTCAGCTAATGTTGATGGAGACAGTTTGACTGAATTTAAACAGTTAAAAGTTGCAGCTGACAGCTAACTCGCTGACTTCATGGCTACCACGAGGGAGGGGCCCCAGTGTTAGACTGAAGTCAGGACTCTAACACCGAGAGCGGTCTGAAGTCTCTCCTGAGCTGCAGCTTGCATCATCGCCGCCTTAAGAGTTTAATAAGAGAGTAAAGTCCAGACAGGTGAGGCTGCAGACAGGTGTGTGTGTGTGTGTGTGTGTGTGTGTGTGTGTGTGTGTGTGTGTGTGTGTGTGTGTGTGTGTGTGTGTGTGTGTGTGTGTTGTAATCCATGTTTGTGTGGTCGTCTGACATTAGAGGGTGTGACACAGAATGTTTCTTCAGCGCTGAGTCAGTCACACATTCGTTCTCTACGACTCCTCCTGGTGTGCGAGAGCCTAATTCCTGTTTCCTGTTGAGTCAACAAACACTCACAGCTCTCTGTTCCTGATCAGACGCTCGTTAACGCTCGGTCTCTGCGGCACTTTAATTACAAGCTGTGTGTTATTTTTTTTAAAACCAAAAGTGCTTCGGCTTGTAAACAAACTCGTGTAAAATCATACGTTCTTTTTCTGTTCTTCACTCCATGTTCTGCTCCGTTCTTCCCCCTCCTATTGTTCTTCCACCACCTCTTCTCCTCTGTCCTGATTTCTGTTCACTTTTTTCTCCCTGTGTTCTCTCCTCGTTCTTTTCTCTTTCTCTTGTACTCTCCTTGTTCTCTGCTCGTTCTGTCCTCGTTCTCTTCTTGTTTTCTCATTGTTCTCCTGTTCCCCCCTTGTTCTCTGCTTGTTCTTTTCTCGTTCTCTTGTACTCTCCTTGTTCTCTGCTCGTTCTTTCCTCGTTCTCTGCTAGTTCTCTCCTCGTTCTCTTCTTGTTTTCTCGTTGTTCTCTTCTTTCCTTGTTCTCTGCTCGTTCTCTCCTCGTTCTCTTCTAGTTTTCTCCTTGTTCTCTGCTCGTTCTTTCCTCGTTCTCTTCTAGTTTTCTCCTTGTTCTCTGCTAGTTCTTTCCTCGTTCTCTTCTAGTTTTCTCCTTGTTCTCTGCTCGTTCTCTTATTGTTCTCTGCTAGTTCTCTCCTTGTTCTCCCCTTGTTCTCTGCTAGTTCTTTCCTCGTTCTCTTCTTGTTTTCTCGTTGTTCTCTTCTTTCCTTGTTCTCTGCTCGTTCTCTCATTGTTCTTCTGTTCTCCCCTTGGTCTCTCATTGTTCTGCTGTTGTTCTCCCCTTGTTCTCTGCTAGTTCTCTCATTGTTCTCCTGTTCTCCCCCTGTTCTCTCATTGTTCTGCTGTGTTCTCCCCTTGTTTTCTCATTGTTCTCCTGTTCCCCCTTGTTCTCTGCTGTTCTTTTCTCGTTCTCTTGTACTCTCCTTGTTCTCTGCTCGTTCTTTCCTCGTTCTCTGCTAGTTCTTTCCTCGCTCTCTTCTTGTTTCTCGTTGTTCTCTTCTTTCCTTGTTCTCTGCTCGTTCTCTCCTCGTTCTCTTCTAGTTTTCTCCTTGTTCTCTGCTCGTTCTTTCCTCGTTCTCTTCTAGTTTTCTCCTTATTCTCTGCTAGTTCTTTCCTCGTTCTCTTCTAGTTTTCTCCTTGTTCTTGCTCGTTCTCTTATTGTTCTCTGCTAGTTCTCTCCTTGTTCTCCCTTGTTCTCTGCTAGTTCTTTCCTCGTTCTCTTCTTGTTTTCTCGTTGTTCTCTTCTTTCCTTGTTCTCTGCTCGTTCTCTCATTGTTCTTCTGTTCTCCCCTTGGTCTCTCATTGTTCTGCTGTTGTTCTCCCCTTGTTCTCTGCTAGTTCTCTCATTGTTCTCCTGTTCTCCCCTGTTCTCTCATTGTTCTGCTGTTGTTCTCCCCTGGTCTCTCATTGTTCTGCTGTTGTTCTCCCCTTGTTCTCTGCTCGTTCTGTTATTGTTCTCTCATTGTTCTCCTGTTCTCCCTTATTCTCTCATTGTTCTCCCCTTGTTCTCTGCTAGTTCTTTCGTCGTTCTCTTCTTGTTTTCTCGTTATCTTCTCTCATTGTTCTCCTGTTCTCTCATTGTTCTGCTGTTGTTCTCCTCTTGTTCTCTGTACGTTCTCTTATTGTTCTCTGCTAGTTCTCTGCTAGTTCTCTCCTTGTTCTCCCCTTGTTCTCTGCTAGTTCTTTCCTCATTCTCTTCTTGTTTTCTCATTGTTCTCTTGTTCTCTCATTGTTATCCTGTTGTTCTCCCCTTGTTCTCTGCTAGTTCTCTCCTTGTTCTCTTCTTGGTCTCTGCTGTTCTCTTCTTGTACTCTGCTCGTTCTCTCATTGTTCTCCGCTTGTTCTCCCTTGTTCTCTCCTTGTTCTCTTCTTGGTCTCTGCTGTTCTCTTCTTGTACTCTGCTCGTTCTCTCACAACCCCCCACCTGGACAAGTTTCAAGCTGTGGGGAAGAAAGCAGTCTACCAAATGTGCGTTAAGTTCTGAACCTGCACTCTTTGGCAGGACTGAAGGAGTCGAGGTGGACTGACTTCTTTGGTCCAGATGCTTCCCCGAAAGGCAGCTGGCGGTCCTGTACAAGCTGCCTAGTGAAAAGCGGACAGCAGACCTCCAGTGGAGAGTTGTACATGGGGCAATAGCTACAAACAGATACAGAGCACACCTGGATCCAGAGTTGGGGGAGGAGTGTATTTTCTGAGACCCTGGCACTTTATTTATTCAGTGTCCTCCCTATCAGCACTTTTAAAACGGTGGTTTCAGGGTCTTGGGAGTCTCTTTCTTTTAGTTTGTTTATTTTTGGCCCAAAATACAGTGCTAAAAAGAAGTCAGTGCACACTTTGGTAAACTTTTTATCTGGTTCTGCAAAGATGGCCATCTGGCTGATGCGCAGAAACCGGGCTCAGAGTGCCGGCTGCGTAGAGCCGGTGCCGGTCTTGAAGGGACTGCTTAAGGCTCGATTAAGGGTGGAGCCATGCATATTATGCATCCAGGTTTATGCTCTGTGGGGGGAGACGGAGAGATGAATGTAAATATATATGGGTTTGTTGTGTTGGTTTTTTGTTTTCTTGAAAGAAATCACATTTCTTTCTCGTTAATGTGATGATGTGGACAATGAGTTTATTTGCTATTCTGGTTTCAATGTTCAATCAAGGGATTTTGAAACCGAAACCGTTCTTCTCCTGTTCTCTCCTTGTTCTCTGCTCATTCTTTTCTCGTTCTCTGCTCGCTCTCTACTTGTTCTCTCCTCGTTCTCTGATCGTTCTCTTCTTGTTCTGTCCTCGTTCTCTCCTCATTCTCTGCTCGTTCACTGCTCGTTCACTGCTCGTTCTCTCTTGTTCTCTCCTTGTTCTCTCCACGTTCTCTGCTCGTTCTCTCCTAGTTCTCTGCTCGTTCTCTGCTCGTTCTCTCCTTTTCTCTCCACGTTCTCTGCTCGTTCACTGCTCGTTCTCTCCTCGTTCTTTGCTCGTTCTCTCCTTGTTCTCTCCTTGTTCTCTCCACGTTCTCTGCTCGTTCTCTCCTTGTTCTCTGCTCGTTCTCTCAAGTTCTCTGCTCGTTCATGCTCGTTCTCTCCTGTTCTTTCCTCGTTCTCTCCTTGTTCTCTCCACGTTCTGTTCTTGTTGTCTCCTTGTTCTCTGCTTGTGCTTTCCTCGTTCACTGCTCGTTCTCTGCTCGTTCTTTCCTCGTTCAATGCTCGTTCTCTCCTTGTTCTCTGCTCGTTCTTTCCTCGTCATTGCTCGTTCTCTGCTCGTTCTCTGCTCGTGCTTTCCTTTTCTCTCTTGTCTCTGCTTGTTCTCTCCTCGTTCTCTGTTTGTTCTTTCCTTGTTCACTGGTCGTTCTCTCCTTGTTCTCTCCTTGTTCTCTGCTCGTTCTCCTTGTTCTCTGCTCGTTCACTGCTCGTTCTCTCCTTGTTCTTTCCACGTTTCTGCTCGTTCTCTTCTTGTTCTGTCCGTTCTCTGCTCGTTCACTGCTCATTCTCTCCTTGTTCTCTGCTCGTTCTCTCTTGTTCTCTGCTCGTTCACTGCTCGTTCTCTCCTCGTTCTCTGCTCGTTCTTTCCTCGTTCACTGCTCGTTCCTCCTTGTTCTCTGCTCGTGCTTTCCTCGTTCTCTCTTGTTCTCTGTTCGGTCACTGCTCGTTCTCTGCTCCTTCTCTGCTCGTTCTCTGCTCGTTCTCTCCATGTTCTCTGCTCGTTCTCACGTTCTCTGCTCGTTCTCTCCACGTTCTCTGCTTGTTCTCGCCACGTTCTCTGCTCGTTCTCTGCTCGTTCTCTGCTTGCTCTCTGCTCGTTCACTGCTCGTTCTCTGCTCGTTCTTTCTTGTTCACTGCGCGTTCTCTCCTTTTTCTTGCGCGTTCTCGCTTGTTCTCTGCTTGTTCACTGCTCGTTCTCTCTTTTCTTGCTCGTTCTCTGCTCGTTCTTTCCTTGTTCACTGCTCGTTCTCTCCTTTTTCTTTGCTCGTTCTCTCCTTGTTCTCTGCTTGTTCTTTCCTTGTTCACTGCTCGTTCTCTCCTTTTCTTGATCGTTCTCTCCTCGTTCTTTCCACGTCTCTGCTCGTTCACTTCTTCTTCTCTGCTCGTTCTTTTCTTGTTCTCTGCTCGTTCTTTTCTCATACTCTCCCATTCTCTGTTTGTTCTCTTCTGTGTTTCTCCTGTTCTCTACGTTCTCTCCTTTCTCTTCAGGTCAGCTGATTTCTGCGATGTCTCTGAGATATTACCCGGATTAAAAAGACAATGAGTTTATCGCCCCGTACGCAAACACCTCGCCACCAGGTCAGCCAGCGCTCAGTACGACGACAGCTACCTAGGTAACCCACACACACACACACACACACCACACCATTTTAATTAATCCAATTAAGTCCAGACAAGATAAACTTTGACCATCACATCTGTGTGTTTCCTTCTAATGTATCAGATGTCATCTTAACTTTATTCGATCACCACAACGACTCTTTCAGCCTCCTTCAGTCTTTCTCTCGTGCTGATCATTTCATTTAAACTAAATGTAGCAAGATCTTTTCTTCCCATCCTTGGAGAAAGTGAAATTTTTAACTCTGTGGAGGGGTTTGAGTTTAAAGTTCTCAGGCGAAAATAATGACAGTGTTATTGTGAGTGCAGTGTGGATGTCTGCTCTGCCTGTGAGACAACGCTGAAGTCACGGCTTTATGCAGGTTCATGGCTGAGTCGAATAACGTCTCCAGCTACGATATTCTGTCGAATTAATGCAAAACCAGGGGCCGCCATCATAACACCAAATACATAAACTATAAACTGTTCTCAGAGGAGAACACAGGAAGTGATTTTACAGAGCAGTTCTGTTGCTGATGCAGACAAAATAAATGCATTTAATTTCAGTCTGAGCGTGTGACGTTAAATACTAAGATGCTGTGATAATCCATACCACCAATTTTGTACATAACATTCTCCTCCTATTTATACCTAAACAACCGTGTACAGAACGGCTGGTTGTCATTTTAGCACACGCTTAGGATTTAGAATTTCGAATTTAAACAATTTTATATAGAAGATGCAGTCGGCTCCATTTAAGACTCTAAACACTGAGAGCGTTCTAAAAGCAACGCAGTTCTTGTAGTTTACTGAGCGTCTCTCTGTGTTCCCCAGGATACTCTGTGACAGTCGCAGACTTCAACGGTGACGGAAAGGAAGGTAAGAACAGACGTGGATCTATAACACTGCCAGGTTCTGAGTTTGAGTCACTTAGATAGATAGATCAAAGCTACTGATAACTGGCTGGTTGTTAGTGATGATGATGTAACACTAACCTCAGAGCCCAAAGGAACTCTCTGGTCTATTGAACACAACAAGTGTGAAGAATTATATTTTAATGGAAAAAATGCATTTCCTACAGAAAATGTGTGAATGCTGAAAGCTGAAATTACTTGCTAAACACTGCAGAAAATGTGTGTGAATGCTGAAAGCTGAAATTAACTTGCTAAACACTGCAGAAAATGTGTGTGAATGCTGAAAGCTGAAATTAACCTGCTAAACACTGCAGAAAACATGTGTGATGCTGAAAGCTGAAATTAACTTGCTAAACACTGCAGAAAACGTGTGAATGCTGAAAGCTGAAATTAACTTGCTAAACACTGCAGAAAATGTGTGTGAATGCTGAAAGCTGAAATTAACTTGCTAAACACTGCAGAAAATGTGTGTGAATGCTGAAAGCTGAAATTAACTTGCTAAACACTGCAGAAAATGTGTGTGAATGCTGAAAGCTGAAATTAACTTGCTAAACACTGCAGAAAACGTGTGAATGCTGAAAGCTGAAATTAACTTGCTAAACACTGCAGAAAATGTGTGTGAATGCTGAAAGCTGAAATTAACTTGCTAAACACTGCAGAAAATGTGTGTGAATGCTGAAAGCTGAACTGAGCTGAAATACATCGCTGAAAAGCTGAAAGTTGTTAATCTGTCAAAGCTGGAAATTAGTTAGTCAAAAGAGAAGTACATGGAAGAAGGTAGTAAATAGCTGAATCGTAGCACACATGCCCTTAAAAAGCAGAACATTTTGATATTGGAATGGTTTCTGTAGTTAAAGGGTTGGAGTGTATTTTACATACAGCTCTTTTATTCAGTAAAGGCTGTAATGTTATTAAATGCAGACAGAATAGAATTGTGATTTTCAAATTAAGGCTGAGCAAATGTTCAAAAATGTTATCACTATAAAAATGTAATTTCATTTAATTTCGATAATTATCAGGATAAATGTCACATCATTGTTTCTTTCAGGTTTAAAGGCTGATTTTTGCTCCTGAGTGAAAGTTAATTGTAGTTTTAAACTTTTCTTTCTGGTCAGAACAAACACTTGATGCCAAACAGTGGATCACTTCACAAATCTGAGGCAGAACGTTCAGAACTATTCTGATAAAAAAAAAAAAATTAAATTAAGTAAAATCTGTTTTCAGTCTCTTTTCCTCAACAAAATAAATATCTTAATAGAAAAATTAAGTGCTGATTTGTTCATGATACAAATTTATTAAACATTTGTAATTGAGGATAATTACCATTATTGGTTTATTGTCCAGCCCTGTTTCAATCAGAAATCCATTTGATGGTTGCAGCATCTTAAACGCCCTGTTTGTCCTCGTCTCAGCATAGTTTAAAGTTTTGGACTGTTGGTCAGATAAAACAAAGCATCTGTTTATAATGTCGATAATGAAAGTAAGGTTTTCCTCACCTCCACAGATTATGTGACTGGAGTACCTCGCGGGGAGAAGGCTCTGGGTTACGTAAGTGTTAAACACACAGTGGATTACAGCCACGCATCAGTCCTGGTCAGGGTTCCCAGACGTGGACCGAAACTGATCCGTGGAGCGGTTTGTGTGAAGCTCAGCTGACGACCTGTGTTTGATGTTTTAGGTGAACATCTTCAACGGCCTCAACATGCAGTCCATGGTCAACTTCACAGGAACGCAGGTGAGCTGCAGCACAGAGCAGCCCCCACATTCAGCATCCGGCCACGCCACTGCGTCGGCACGGAGGGGGTCCTGCCGCTGGTTCCACCAAAATCGTTTGCAACGTTTCATTGACAGAACAAAAACACGGAACTCAAGCAGCACACACTAATAGGGTTGGGTATCGTTCCAGTTTCATTGATTCTCGGTGACCTTCCTCCCCCTTCATGTCTCTAAAGTGAAAGGAGTCTCTGTCCTAGAGGGGCGTCTCTGGGGACTCGTCTCATCTGTAGCCATCGTTGGTTTCCCTTCAGTATAAAAGGTGAACCAGTTCTCCAAACCCAACCCTACTCACTGGAAGTATCTTCTCTAAAGAAAGCAAGGATTTTGAATTTAATACACATTAATGAGCTTTCCAGCGTTAAAGATCAGTATTTTGTGCATCATGTGCCATCACACACCGACTAATGTCAGCGGACTGCAGGACCAAACTCCAGCACGAGTGAAGAAGCAGCTGACCAACACACACTGCAGCACTCTACAGAAGATCCACCTGTGGTAGTAGAGTGCAGCGGCAGGAAGTAGAGGTGTGGAGCCAAATGCAGACAGAGGCGAGGAGATTGCAGTCCAACAAAAGATTTAATAACGCAACTTAAACAGGGTTATTTGGGAGCACAGCAGGCCAAAAGTCCAAACAAAAGTGTCTCCAAACGGGCAGAGTAATAATCCAGAACAAGGCAGAGAAATATGCAAACACGAGGGAATAAATCCATGGAACAAAGAACAAGTAGGAACACTCAACATTAGAAAAGGACCTCACAAAAACTGAAGAGAACTGAAGGTTTAAATACACAGAATAAAGAATAAACCAAAACACAAGCAGACACAGATCCATAAACAAAAGTACAAAAACACAGGCAGGGGTAACAAACTAATAATCAAGACAAAAATACACTAAGCCAACAGGAACAAAGCCAGACAAGAACACCGGGCACAGAAGATTACGAAATAAAACAGGAAGTAAAGTACACGGGAACACACGACCACAGATCTACCAAAGTAAAACACAGAACATGGAAAGACCGCAAAATCAGGGCATGGAACAGAGACCGGACCAAACAGGAGACAGGACTACACCAAAACATGGAGACATAGGACTAAGGACTCAAACAAGTAAAACTAAAGTAAGCTACAAAACCCCAAACAACAAGATCAAATAATAAACACATGAACTAAGAACTGAGGCACTGGACTAAGATAAGAGACAAGACAGATACTAAGTAAACTAAAACATGTGAATGAATAAAATAATAGACCAACGTCTGTTTTACAAATGAAATGTAGTTTGTGATGGTTTCTGAATGAATGCAAGTTCCAGACTTTACTTCAGTGAGCTTCATCAAGACCAGTCGGCTTAACCGCCAGTTATGTTTCACTAGAAACACAAGTAAATGTTTTGGCACACAGGAGTCTGATGCTGGAGCCCCCCCCCCTTTCTAATTATCAGATTAAAGTGAATCACCCACCCTGAAATAAAACGCAGGGCTGTCCAGAAAACTGCTTCAAATTTTTGCTGCAACGTCAAATATCTCACAGTTAAATCTGTGCAAGCTCTCATTGCTGGTAGGTGACCGTGGAGAAGAATCAAAGACATAAATATTACAACAGTAACAGGAAGTAACTCCCAACTGGCCTTTCTGTCTGAAACACAAACACAGACAGATGTTAAATCAAACCGCTGCTGACTGACGCTGCTTTTACATCTCCACATAAAACACAGAGACCCTCACTCAGCTTCTCGTGAACTAACTGCAGCTGCATTTATGTTGAGTCTGTTGAAAACACTACAGATGGAGAAGAAGAAGAGAGGGAGGGTGTCTTCGAAGGAAAAAGGATGAGGGCTGGAGAGGAAACGAGTTAATGACAGAGTTCCTCTCGTCTTTCCTGTCCCTCCTCCATAACTCGCCCTCTGAACCCGTCAGCCTCTGTTATCTCTCCCTCCAGCCGGCGTTTTATATCTCTAGTCTTGTGTGAGTCTCTGTTTGGAGGTTTCACATTCATCTAGTGTTTCATTTAAACAGGAACAGACAGTTCAAACAACACGGCGTCCGTCCTCCCCTTAACTCTTCTTTTCCCTCTCCCCTGACGGCGTGTCCGTCTCCAGTTTGAATCACCTGGATCGTTTTTACTCCTCTAACCCTGCAAGTCAAAGCCGTGACCTCAAACTCAACACGCATCTGATTCGCTCCTCCTTTATGGGGATGAGACAGAGAGAGAGATGTGAGGACGCAGAAATGCAGCGTCGTTCTGATGAGGCGGCAGATCCTCACACAGGAAGTGAAACGGCACCGATGGACAATTAAATCTATTAATTATACAACGAGAAACCGCCAAAATAAAATAATTTGTTTAGGAACTGCAGGTAAAACAGGACCGCAGCTGTGGAGGAGAAATATTACTAGTTTTCTGGAATCAGCTGAAGATGCACCTGCAACACAAATAAGAAAATTATGATTATTATTATATTTGTAATATTTTTATTTCATGAACAGTAAAACAACCACGTGCGGGGGCAGTTCATGTTAGCAGTCGTGTACTTCGCCACCAGCAGTTCACTACTACAGAAAAACTGGAAGAGATTCTGAATGTTTACACCTGGCTCCTCCTCCTGCTGCTGCTGAGCGAGCAGCCGGTAAAGCTGTCAGTAAACGCTGCTCACATTTTAGGATGAAGCCAATGTGTTCCTCTGAGATGTATGTTTCGACACAAGTCGATGCTGAAATTTTAAAAACATGTTGCTACTCGTTTCGAGATCCAACACGTAACTGCAGCTGCCTCGACTGGTAGACTAGTGAAGAGCCGTGTGTGGAAACTGGGCTGTTTCCTTCAACAGCTCCGAGACAAAGCCTGGATTTCTACCAGTTCTGGGATCAGAGAGCTGATTCAGGCCGACGTTTCACAGTTTGGATTGACACAAAATCACCAATGGTGACGATGCACAAACGCTCCTGTTACTGTAGGAGGAGTTAGGGGCCGTCTGCGCGATGTAGAAGAAAAGTTGACAAAATGTATGAATTGATTATGCGCAGTTTCAAGAGAATATTTTGACATTAAACCACCTCTCATCTGTCCCGAACATCCTCTCACAGCTGTTAGTTGTTCAAGTGTTTTTATTAAAGGGGTGTGTGTTAAAGCACGTGATGGGATTTATAATTTTATTTTTTTACCGTGGGATCAAATTTGGAATTGGTTATCGTGGAGTTTTACTGGTTTCAATATCGACTGCTAAATTTCTGGTATCGTGATGACGTCTCTAACCTAAGAACTGTGATTTAGGGAGTGTAGAAATAAAGCTTTTCTAAATCTCTGTCTTGTAGATGGCTGCCTACTTTGGACATTCGGTGGCTGTGACTGATATTAATAAAGATGGGTAAGTCTGACTCCAGCTGAGCAGCAGCCTTACGCTCTCTCTCTCTCTCTCTCTCTCTCTCTCTCTCTCTCTCTCTCCAAGCCAACTTTATTAACCTCACACTCTGATGAGTGAACAGACCAGCAGCTAGATTCACTTTCACCATCACTGCTGTAAACCTGGCTGCAGCTCTCTCACTCGCTCTCACGTACAGATTAGCTGTACTAAGCACTAGATTTGATAACAGCATCCGGTTCATGTCCTCTGTCTGTCTGTCAGTTTGATAGATCTGCTGGTCGGAGCGCCGCTCTTCATGGACCGAGGGTCGGATGGAAAGCTGAGGGAGGTGGGACAGGTAGGAACTTTTACAAACTATAAATAATGAGATCAGAAACTGGGTTTGGGTTTATGGAAATCTGAAGGATTCTAACTTTAGTTCAAAGTCATAAATGAGTTTATATATATATGACAAAGTAGTCTATGTTAGCCTGACTCATGTCCACTTCACTGTGTCCAAATATCCACAATCCACGAGGACCCGCTGTAAGTCAAGAAAAGGTCAACCTTTAATTCCAGATTTTACAAAAGGCCCAGTGCTCAGCTTGTTACGATGCAGATCTCTTCACCTCCCGCCACGTGTTCCTTTTCAATGCCTTTACAATATGCATCGTTGACACTGGACATCGCTGTCACTGGAATCATACCCAGAATGCAGCAGGCAGCCTCTGTAACTTGTAAATGCGTGGGGTCTCCAGGTGTCGGTGTACCTGGGCCGTGGTGGATTTTCCTTCCAGCCTCCTCAGCTGCTCACAGGGTCCGAGGTTTACGCCAGGTACGGCTCTGCCATCACAGCGCTGGGAGACCTGGATAAGGACGGCTACAACGGTAAGAGAGGGACCACACGCACAGATCATCCGGACCAGGTCCAGACCCTGACCTGGATAATTCCTGCTTCGCCTCACGTCTCTTCCTGTCTCCCTCCTTCACCCCTCCAGATGTGGCCATCTCTGCTCCTTATGGAGGCACCGGCCATCTGGGCGTGGTCTACATCCACAACGGCCGCGCTCGAGGGCCCGACCCCACTCCTTCCCAGGTAACCATCAGTTCCAGGTGTGTTTATTAGTCACATTATCAGCGTAGCTCCACCATTGGTCCAGACTAAGCAGGAACCTCCAGGTCTGAAAAGTGAAGCCTTAAACCTGCGTTCTGTCTAGCGGCCAGCAGGGGGCGACTCGCAGGCTGCAGAAAGAAGTGTGATTGTATAGAAGTGAAGAAAATGAGGCTTGCAGACAGTAGGTTGACCGCCATGAAGGCGTTCATGTTCCTCAGAGGATGAATCTTAATGACGTTTTCCACCACAGGGTCTCCTCAGTAGCTGTTGGAGCTCACAATCGCATCACATGATCGTCCTCTGTTTGTCCGGTTGCCATGTTGCTGCTTCACAACGAAACACACGTTTTGTTTTCATGCTGTGTTGATTCTTACCTGTGTCTCGTCTCTCAGGTCCTGCGGGGCAAATGGGCGTCCTCCTACATGCCTGCTAGCTTTGGATACTCCATTACTGGAAACACTGACATAGACCAGAACGGATATCCAGGTACACACACACAGATTTAAACTTTATATATTTACAGTATCTCACAAACGTGAGTACAACCCTCACATCTTTGACACTGCTCCAGTGTAAAGTAGTGAGCGTACAGCTTGTATAACAGTGTAAAGTAGTGAGCGTGCAGCTTGTATAACAGTGTAAAGTAGCGAGCGTGCAGCTTGTATAACAGTGTAAAGTAGCGAGCGTGCAGCTTGTATAAAAGTGTAAAGTAGCGAGCGTGCAGCTTGTATAACAGTGTAAAGCAGTGAGCGTACAGCTTGTATAACAGTGTAAAGTAGTGAGCGTGCAGCTTGTATAACAGTGTAAAGTAGTGAGCGTACAGCTTGTATAACAGTGTAAAGTAGCGAGCGTGCAGCTTGTATAACAGTGTAAAGTAGTGAGCGTGCAGCTTGTAGAACAGTGTAAAGTAGTGAGCGTGCAGCTTGTATAACAGTGTAAAGTAGTGAGCGTGCAGCTTGTAGAACAGTGTAAAGTAGTGAGCGTGCAGCTTGTAGAACAGTGTAAAGCAGTGAGCGTGCAGCTTGTAGAACAGTGTAAAGTAGTGAGCTTGCAGCTTGTAGAACAGTGTAAAGTAGTGAGCTTGCAGCTTGTATAACAGTGTAAAGCAGTGAGCGTACAGCTTGTAGAACAGTGTAAAGTAGTGAGCTTGCAGCTTGTAGAACAGTGTAAAGTAGTGAGCTTGCAGCTTGTATAACAGTGTAAAGCAGTGAGCGTACAGCTTGTATAACAGTGTAAAGTAGTGAGCGTGCAGCTTGTATAACAGTGTAAAGTAGTGAGCGTGCAGCTTGTATAACAGTGTAAAGTAGTGAGCGTACAGCTTGTATAACAGTGTAAAGTAGTGAGCGTGCAGCTTGTATAACAGTGTAAAGTAGTGAGCGTGCAGCTTGTATAACAGTGTAAAGTAGTGAGCGTGCAGCTTGTATAACAGTGTAAAGTAGTGAGCGTACAGCTTGTAGAACAGTGTAAAGTAGTTAGCGTACAGCTTGTATAACAGTGTAAAGTAGTGAGCGTACAGCTTGTATAACAGTGTAAAGTAGTGAGCGTGCAGCTCGTATAACAGTGTAAAGTAGTGAGCGTGCAGCTTGTATAACAGTGTAAAGTAGTGAGCGTGCAGCTCGTATAACAGTGTAAAGTAGTGAGCGTGCAGCTTGTATAACAGTGTAAAGTAGTGAGCGTGCAGCTTGTATAACAGTGTAAAGTAGTGAGCGTGCAGCTTGTATAACAGTGTAAAGTAGTGAGCTAACAGTGTAAAGTAGTGAGCGTGCAGCTTGTATAACAGTGTAAAGTAGTGAGCGTGCAGCTTGTATAACAGTGTAAAGTAGTGAGCGTGCAGCTTGTATAACAGTGTAAAGTAGTGAGCGTGCAGCTTGTATAACAGTGTAAAGTAGTGAGTGTGCAGCTTGTATAACAGTGTAAAGTAGTGAGCGTACAGCTTGTATAACAGTGTAAAGTAGTGAGCGTACAGCTTGTATAACAGTGTAAAGTAGTGAGTGTGCAGCTTGTATAACAGTGTAAAGTAGTGAGCGTACAGCTTGTATAACAGTGTAAAGTAGTGAGTGTGCAGCTTGTATAACAGTGTAAAGTAGTGAGCGTACAGCTTGTATAACAGTGTAAAGTAGTGAGCGTACAGCTTGTATAACAGTGTAAAGTAGTGAGCGTACAGCTCGTATAACAGTGTAAAGTAGTGAGCGTGCAGCTTGTATTTTAGGGAGCGTACAGCTTGTATAACAGTGTAAAGTAGTGAGTGTGCAGCTTGTATAACAGTGTAAAGTAGTGAGCGTACAGCTTGTATAACAGTGTAAAGTAGTGAGCGTACAGCTTGTATAACAGTGTAAAGTAGTGAGTGTGCAGCTTGTATAACAGTGTAAAGTAGTGAGCGTACAGCTTGTATAACAGTGTAAAGTAGTGAGCGTACAGCTCGTATAACAGTGTAAAGTAGTGAGCGTGCAGCTTGTATAACAGTGTAAAGTAGTGAGCGTACAGCTTGTATAACAGTGTAAAGCAGTGAGCGTGCAGCTTGTATAACAGTGTAAAGTAGTGAGCGTACAGCTTGTATAACAGTGTAAAGTAGTGAGCGTACAGCTTGTATAACAGTGTAAAGTAGTGAGCGTACAGCTTGTATAACAGTGTAAAGTAGTGAGCGTACAGCTTGTATAACAGTGTAAAGTAGTGAGTGTGCAGCTTGTATAACAGTGTAAAGTAGTGAGCGTACAGCTTGTATAACAGTGTAAAGTAGTGAGCGTGCAGCTTGTATAACAGTGTAAAGCAGTGAGCGTACAGCTTGTATAACAGTGTAAAGCAGTGAGCGTGCAGCTTGTATAACAGCGTAAAGTAGTGAGCGTGCAGCTTATATAACAGTGTAAAGCAGTGAGCGTACAGCTTGTATAACAGTGTAAAGCAGTGAGCGTGCAGCTTGTATAACAGTGTAAAGTAGTGAGCGTGCAGCTTATATAACAGTGTAAAGCAGTGAGCGTACAGCTTGTATAACAGTGTAAAGTAGTGAGCGTACAGCTTGTATAACAGTGTAAAGTAGTGAGCGTATAGCTTGTATAACAGTGTAAAGTAGTGAGCGTATAGCTTGTATAACAGTGTAAAGCAGTGAGCGTGCAGCTTGTAGAACAGTGTAAAGTAGTGAGCTTGCAGCTTGTAGAACAGTGTAAAGTAGTGAGCTTGCAGCTTGTATAACAGTGTAAAGCAGTGAGCGTACAGCTTGTATAACAGTGTAAAGTAGTGAGCGTGCAGCTTGTATAACAGTGTAAAGTAGTGAGCGTACAGCTTGTATAACAGTGTAAAGTAGTGAGCGTACAGCTTGTATAACAGTGTAAAGTAGTGAGTGTGCAGCTTGTATAACAGTGTAAAGTAGTGAGCGTGCAGCTCGTATAACAGTGTAAAGCAGTGAGCGTGCAGCTCGTATAACAGTGTAAAGTAGTGAGCGTACAGCTTGTATAACAGTGTAAAGTAGTGAGTGTGCAGCTTGTATAACAGTGTAAAGTAGTGAGCGTACAGCTTGTAGAACAGTGTAAAGTAGTGAGCGTACAGCTTGTATAACAGTGTAAAAGTAGTGAGCGTGCAGCTTGTATTTTAGGGAGCGTACAGCTTGTATAACAGTGTAAAGTAGTGAGCGTACAGCTTGTATAACAGTGTAAAGTAGTGAGCGTGCAGCTTGTATAACAGTGTAAAGTAGTGAGCGTACAGCTTGTATAACAGTGTAAAGTAGTGAGTGTGCAGCTTGTATAACAGTGTAAAGTAGTGAGCGTACAGCTTGTATAACAGTGTAAAGTAGTGAGCGTACAGCTTGTATAACAGTGTAAAGTAGTGAGTGTGCAGCTTGTATAACAGTGTAAAGTAGTGAGCGTACAGCTTGTATAACAGTGTAAAGTAGTGAGCGTACAGCTCGTATAACAGTGTAAAGCAGTGAGCGTACAGCTCGTATAACAGTGTAAAGTAGTGAGCGTGCAGCTTGTATAACAGTGTAAAGTAGTGAGCGTACAGCTTGTATAACAGTGTAAAGTAGTGAGCGTGCAGCTTGTATAACAGTGTAAAGTAGTGAGCGTACAGCTTGTATAACAGTGTAAAGTAGTGAGCGTACAGCTTGTATAACAGTGTAAGTAGTGAGTGTGCAGCTTGTATAACAGTGTAAAGTAGTGAGCGTGCAGCTTGTATAAAAGTGTAAAGTAGCGAGCGTGCAGCTTGTATAACAGTGTAAAGCAGTGAGCGTACAGCTTGTATAACAGTGTAAAGCAGTGAGCGTGCAGCTTGTATAACAGCGTAAAGTAGTGAGCGTGCAGCTTATATAACAGTGTAAAGCAGTGAGCGTACAGCTTGTATAACAGTGTAAAGCAGTGAGCGTGCAGCTTGTATAACAGTGTAAAGTAGTGAGCGTGCAGCTTGTATAACAGTGTAAAGTAGTGAGCGTACAGCTTGTATAACAGTGTAAAGTAGTGAGCGTGCAGCTTATATAACAGTGTAAAGCAGTGAGCGTGCAGCTTGTATAACAGTGTAAGTAGTGAGCGTACAGCTTGTATAACAGTGTAAAGTAGTGAGCGTATAGCTTGTATAACAGTGTAAAGTAGTGAGCGTATAGCTTGTATAACAGTGTAAAGCAGTGAGCGTGCAGCTTGTAGACAGTGTAAAGTAGTGAGCTTGCAGCTTGTAGAACAGTGTAAAGTAGTGAGCTTGCAGCTTGTATAACAGTGTAAAGCAGTGAGCGTACAGCTTGTATAACAGTGTAAAGTAGTGAGCGTGCAGCTTGTATAACAGTGTAAAGTAGTTAGCGTACAGCTTGTATAACAGTGTAAAGTAGTGAGCGTACAGCTTGTATAACAGTGTAAAGTAGTGAGTGTGCAGCTCGTATAACAGTGTAAAGTAGTGAGCGTGCAGCTCGTATAACAGTGTAAAGCAGTGAGCGTGCAGCTCGTATAACAGTGTAAAGTAGTGAGCGTGCAGCTCGTATAACAGTGTAAAGTAGTGAGCGTGCAGCTTGTATAACAGTGTAAAGTAGTGAGTGTGCAGCTTGTATAACAGTGTAAAGTAGTGAGCGTGCAGCTTGTATAACAGTGTAAAGTAGTGAGTGTGCAGCTTGTATAACAGTGTAAAGTAGTGAGCGTGCAGCTTGTATAACAGTGTAAAGTAGTGAGCGTGCAGCTTGTATAACAGTGTAAAGTAGTGAGTGTGCAGCTTGTATAACAGTGTAAAGTAGTGAGCGTGCAGCTTGTATAACAGTGTAAAGTAGTGAGCGTGCAGCTTGTATAACAGTGTAAAGTAGTGAGCGTGCAGCTTGTATAACAGTGTAAAGTAGTGAGCGTACAGCTTGTATAACAGTGTAAAGTAGTGAGTGTGCAGCTTGTATAACAGTGTAAAGTAGTGAGCGTGCAGCTTGTATAACAGTGTAAAGTAGTGAGCGTACAGCTTGTATAACAGTGTAAAGTAGTGAGCGTGCAGCTTGTATAACAGTGTAAAGTAGTGAGCGTACAGCTTGTATAACAGTGTAAAGTAGTGAGTGTGCAGCTTGTATAACAGTGTAAAGTAGTGAGCGTACAGCTTGTAGAACAGTGTAAAGTAGTGAGCGTACAGCTTGTAGAACAGTGTAAAGTAGTGAGCGTGCAGCTTGTATTTAGGGAGCGTACAGCTTGTATAACAGTGTAAAGTAGAGTGTGCAGCTTGTATAACAGTGTAAAGTAGTGAGCGTACAGCTTGTATAACAGTGTAAAGTAGTGAGCGTGCAGCTTGTATTTTAGGGAGCGTACAGCTTGTATAACAGTGTAAAGTAGTGAGCGTACAGCTTGTATAACAGTGTAAAGTAGTGAGCGTGCAGCTTGTATAACAGTGTAAAGTAGTGAGCGTACAGCTTGTATAACAGTGTAAAGTAGTGAGTGTGCAGCTTGTATAACAGTGTAAAGTAGTGAGCGTGCAGCTTGTATAACAGTGTAAAGTAGTGAGCGTGCAGCTTGTATAACAGTGTAAAGTAGTGAGTACAGCTTGTATAACAGTGTAAAGTAGTGAGTGTGCAGCTTGTAGAACAGTGTAAAGTAGTGAGCGTACAGCTTGTAGAACAGTGTAAAGTAGTGAGCGTACAGCTTGTATAACAGTGTAAAGTAGTGAGCGTGCAGCTTGTATTTTAGGGAGCGTACAGCTTGTATAACAGTGTAAAGTAGTGAGCGTACAGCTTGTATAACAGTGTAAAGTAGTGAGCGTGCAGCTTGTATAACAGTGTAAAGTAGTGAGCGTGCAGCTTGTATTTTAGGGAGCGTACAGCTTGTATAACAGTGTAAAGTAGTGAGCGTGCAGCTTGTATAACAGTGTAAAGTAGTGAGCGTGCAGCTTGTATTTTAGGGAGCGTACAGCTTGTATAACAGTGTAAAGTAGTGAGCGTACAGCTTGTATAACAGTGTAAAGTAGTGAGCGTGCAGCTTGTATAACAGTGTAAAGTAGTGAGCGTACAGCTTGTATAACAGTGTAAAGTAGTGAGTGTGCAGCTTGTATAACAGTGTAAAGTAGTGAGCGTACAGCTTGTATAACAGTGTAAAGTAGTGAGCGTACAGCTTGTATAACAGTGTAAAGTAGTGAGTGTGCAGCTTGTATAACAGTGTAAAGTAGTGAGCGTACAGCTTGTAGAACAGTGTAAAGTAGTGAGCGTACAGCTTGTATAACAGTGTAAAGTAGTGAGCGTGCAGCTTGTATAACAGTGTAAAGTAGTGAGCGTGCAGCTTGTATAACAGTGTAAAGTAGTGAGCGTACAGCTTGTAGAACAGTGTAAAGTAGTGAGCGTGCAGCTTGTATAACAGTGTAAAGTAGTGAGTGTGCAGCTTGTATAACAGTGTAAAGTAGTGAGTGTGCAGCTTGTATAACAGTGTAAATCTGCTGTCCCCTCAAAATAACACGTCACACAGCCGTTAGGCTACATCATACACTGCAGGACTACACACACATACACCCTACGCCTACACATGCGCACTGCCCAACCCTTCTTTATGGGTAATTTTGGATTTATTCACCCACTTTTAAAACATTTATTAAACGTTTTATCTTTTTACATGTTTATTTACAGCATTTTATGTTGACATGTATATTGTAATAGGCTGTATATTAACTTATTGGGAGAAAACCGGTAGTTGAATGTAAAATCAGACGTTGTGCACCCCCATATTGACAGTCGAATCAGGCTCCGCCCATCGAAGCATCGAACCTTCGACTATGCGGGGTCAGCCCAAACTGTGACATACTGAAGCAGAGCCCCTCCCTTCAGAGACCGGGCCGCAGGGCAGTAATCCAACATGATAACGACCCAAACACACCTCCAAGACGACCGCTGCCTCGCTAAAGAAGCTGAGGGTAAAGGTGACGGACTGGCCGAGCACGTCTCCAGACCTGAACCCTACTGAGCATCTGTGGGGCTCCTCAAACGGGAGGTGGAGGAGGTCTCTAACATCCACCAGCTCCGTGATGTCGTCATGGAGGAGTGGAAGAGGACTCCAGTGGCGACATGTGAAGCTCTGCTGAACTCCAGGCCAATAGGCCACACAAAATATATTGACACTTTGGGCCCAAATTGGACATTTTCACTTTTGTTGCCAGAGGTTTAGACATTAACGGCTGTGTGATGTGTTATTTTGAGGGGACAGCAGATTTCCACTCTTATACAAGCTGCACGCTACTTACACTGGAGCAAAGGGTCATTTCTTCAGTGTCGTCACATGAAGAGATAGAATCAGATATTTACAAACATGTGAGGGGTGGACTCACTTTGAGAGATACTGTATATGCACACTGTATATGTGTGGAGGCACCGCAGGGATCAAGTGAACTGCTGCTGTGCAAAAGCTGATGTGTTTTCTGTCTTTCAGATTTAATAGTGGGAGTGTTTGGAGCAGACAAAGCTGTTTTATACAGGTAATCATCCTGTGTGTTCACCCCTGCTGGAGGAGTTTAATGAGCGAGGCCACCTCTGATATCAAAGCGCTGCTGTTTTCTCCTCCCGACTTTACAGAAGCCGTTAGGAACCACTTAACCCTTTCAGCCCAGAGTCTCGTTCTCCTGCTAATTTATTTATCCCCCTTCACTGCAGCGAAATTTTAATAATTATTGTACTACCACTCAAAAGTTTTAAAAACACGCGCCATATTTGTAGTTCTTCTGTAAATCTAAGTAGTTCAAGTCCAGTGAAAAACCTTTAATGGAGCAAAGTCAGCAGCAAAAGTTAGTTTACGATAACAAAACAACATCTAAAATTAACAATTAAATAAAGGAGTTTTGTTCATTATTTCTCTGTAGGATCAACTGATGACCAGCTGCTCTGTCTTCCCTCATTAATATTATATATAATAGATGTAATACAGTCCAAATAAAGCTTCTGACGGAGTACTAACAGGCTGCTCCAAGCTGTTTACTGTAGACATGGGTTTACTTTCCTTCCACTGCTGCAGAATAACTGAAAGTTGTGAAATAATGAACAAAACTCCTTCATTTAATTGTTAATTCTAGATCTAAGAGTGTCTGTTTTGGTGACTTTGGTAACTTTTGCTGCTTACTTTGGTACCATTTAAGGTTTTTCACTGGACTTAAACTACTCATTTTTACATAAGAACTACAAACATGGCGGCTGTTCTTAAACTTCTAACTGGTAGTGTGTTATCCATCTTCGCAGAGAAAAATCTATCCACACAGACAATGATACACACGGCATTATGGGAACTGTAGTTGCACTCAATTATTCTGAAAATAATAAATTATTATCATAATAAGTTTTCCTCTATTTTATCATGCGGGTTTTTTTTTTTTTAATGGAGCAGCTGAGGCCTGAAATTAATTTGTGAATTTATATAAATGTCTGTATTCATTGGCAGTTGACTTAAAACTAATTTTTAATGATGTATCTCATTCATTTCTGACTCCTGCTCTCTGATCACTGTGTTGTAATGCAGCTGAATTCATCCTTTAGCTGCTCTCAGATTTGTCTGAGGGATGAAATTTAAACACTACGTTGACCAGCAGTCCGTTAGCGAGCCGCTGATCTGCAAAGTGAAATAAAACTGTGTGTGTGTGTGTCAGAGCTCGACCAGTCATCAGTGTGAACGCCACGTTAGACATCACGCCTCAGATCATCAACCCAGAGGAGAAGACCTGCACACTTCCTGGAACAACCACTCATGTGTCCTGGTGAGTCTGTCCTGACTGTTCTCTGAACAGTGATCATGAAGCAATGTGTTTCTTTTTGCTTCCTTTCTCCGGCCTGTCTGAAAAAACATCTTTACACATGAACACACGCGCGTGCTTTTCTGTGGATGATTGAAATTGTGATATCGTCTGAAACGAAAACAAAAAGGGAGAAAGGGAGAGTTCAGGTGCAGGAAGATCTGACTGTGTAAAGGAAATGTTGACACAGCTTTTATCAGCATGCCCTCCCGTACATCAAGTCTTCCATTTGTTATTGTAGTTGTGTTTTAAGTATAAATTAAGGGTTAACCCTATTGTTTGGTTTTTTTTGTCAGTGCTGGAAGAAGAACATTTTTCCGCCATTTAAAATCTTTTGAAAAATTCTGTCACTACTCCGGATCTCCGACTGCCACAAAATTTTCGGTAGATCATATTTGGACCAAGCTGATCAAAAGTTGCGTAAAGCTTGTTGATATCTCATTTAGCTTTCAAGATATTGACTAAAACGTTTAGAAAGGGGTGTGTCTCAGGACATAAACAGACAACAATCGGCAGGATATGTTCACATAAGTGCCTGAGACATGAGCCCTGAAAGTGTAATTCAAATTAAAGGGGGCGCTACAAGTGTATCATACAATTTAGACAATATAACAGAAGTTAATTCTCCAATCATCACACTAACGTGCAGGATATATCCTCAGAAGTAACTGGAACATGTTCTAATAATAGTAATAATAATAAAACATTTTATTTATAGGCGCCTTTCTGAACACTCAAAGTCACCTCACAAAACATAATAAAACAGTACAGCAATAATCGATAAAATTAACAACCATAATTACAGTGAATAAAATCAGGGTACAAAACAACTGGAAACAAAGATTGCTGTGATCACGTGGGATATGCCAGTTTAAAAAGATGTGTTTTCAGGCGGGATTTAAAAACGGAAAGCGAGTCAATGTTGCGGATGTCTGGTGGAAGAGAGTTCCAGAGACGAGGGGCAGAGAGACGGTCGGAGGCGATTAATGTTACGTAAATGAAAGTATGCAGACTGAGTGACATTATTAATGTGAGCTTGAAGTGAAAGTGTGCAGTCGAGGATAACACCAAGACTCTTGACCTGAGGGAGGGGAAAACTGTGGAGTTGTCAATGGTAAGAGAAAAACTGTCAGATTTAGTCAAAGTGGATTTGGTGCCAATGAGGAGAACCTCTGTTTTGTCACTGTTAAGTTTGAGGAAGGATAGGTAGAGCTGGGTGTCATCTGCATAGAAGTGGAAATGGAGGTTAAATTTACGAAAGAAAAAGTTTCATTCAAATCGACCAATAGGGGGGCGCTATAAATGCAAGAAATGGATGAGGCATAAAGTAAATGAGACTATGGCTGCTTCTCAAGTCTCTTATTTGTCTTTTCATCGCTCCTCGCTTGAACCGGAAGTTGTTCCGCTCCGCCGTCTTGCAGGCCGTCCTAAAGCTGTTATTTGTGCTCCAAGGAGCTCTGAGCGAGGATACACCAGTGCATCCTTCACGGAAGTCTTTTACTGACCGACACGCCCCCTTATTGGATAGCTGTTATATTGATTGGAAGCTGCAGCTGATCGGACTGATCTGAAACATCAGAACAGATGACATTAAACTCAAGTGTATTGCTGTCTTGTTAAAATTGTTCATTGTAGGTCTGAACAACAAAGGCCCCACACACAGCTTTATTTATTTATTAGAAAGAGTTTTGTTTATTTTATTTCTCCCGTCAACTTTTATTATGGAGACAGTTAAAGTCAGAGAGAGTCGGAGAGTCGGTCAGCAAGAAATTTCTATTCAGTCACACGTGAGGCTGCTCATTCCTGAGTTTAGTCCAAACAGAATAAAATATAGTAAACACGCAAGGAGTCGGACACTAAACTGCTAAAGTCTCTAATGAAGCGAGCAAAGCATCTGACGGAAGCAGCCGGCGGCTCCGCGAGTAAAATCAGCTGATGAAAGTATGAATGAAAGCTGCTGCTACGCTAAAACAAATTATTGGATTGAAACGATGGAACGCAGCGATCGATCGGTGACGAGTGATGTGACCTGCAAAAAAACTCTATGCAGTCGTGTTTAAGGACATCAGAAGAGGAAATAAACAGGAAGCCTAAAACTGAGCGTCATCTCTGATACAAGTTACATCATTTCAATTTCCCTCAAACATTTAACCTAATAAATCCCAAGACACCATGATCATACTCTGGGTTATTCACTAACGCATCAGAATCAATAAATCTAAATGAAGATAATATCAGCATCGTGCCTCTGAGCAGGACAAACAGTAGCTAAATACTTTTTCATGGGCAGGTGTTTGATAAACAGGTAATAGAGAATCCTGCTGCACTGAGAGACTGTGAGACTTTAGTACCAACCTTTTTATATACAGCCTATGGTACCAACACAGTGCACATGTATGTAGACACAAACGCCATCGAAAGTCTCGTCTCATTTCCTCGTCCCGTCTCTCCCGGTTTGGAAAAGACGCCAGTGAGGGAAACGTGGATGCAGTTAAGAGACTTGAGAAACAGCCTATAACTCGACATCAACATTCAGCCAATGAGAGCAGGCGGCTTCTTTTTTTTAATACAAAACGTCTCGTTGTCAGCTTGTCTTCATGCTAAGCTAACCGTCTCCTGGCTGTAGCTTCATGTTGAACGGGCAGATGTGAGCGTGGTGTCGACCCTTTCGTGAATCTCTGCCACTTACTTTTTCAGCTGTTATTTTCAGAGACGCAGAATCTAATTCTGTCATCTAACGCCGACTCCTTCCTCTCTCCTTGGTGACGCTGCAGCTGAGTGTCTGTGTGTGTTTTCCAGTTTTACGGTGAAGTACTGTCTGAAGGCCAGCGGCACCGGAGCTCCGGCTTTTCTCGGTAAGCAAAACGCCGCCTGCAGCAGTGACACACATGAAGACAGCTGACCTTTGATCAGTACAGAGCCACGTGTCCACGCTGATGATTGTGGTTCTGCCGCTTTCAAGACCGCTTCATGATCTCCTCTGTGTTTGGTCTCCCCCCAGATTTCCGTGTGGACCTGACGTTGGACCGCCTGAAGCAGAAGGAGGCGACTAAACGCGTCCTCTTCCTGCACAGTCGGACCTTTCAGTACTCAAAGAACATGGCGGTGTCCAACAGCAAAACCCCGACCTGCGAGGAGCAGTCCGTCTTCCTGCGGGTGAGAAATGGCACATTTTAAAATGAAAGAAGAAGAAAGTTCGAGCACCAGCGTGTCAAAACTGAATTATAATATTTCTGTGAAACACATGAAAACACCACAACATTTTAACTGGTTTGCATTTAGAACAAATAACAACAGATTATGTCATTATGACATTCAAGTGTTTCCAGGTGTTTCCAGGTGTGGGGAGTGTTATAAAGCCTTCGGTGTCTCAGAGGGAGCTGTGTGACGTATGATAAATGTCCTCGAGTGATGTCACTTGAGTCGGCGTCGGCTGAAGACTACGAGTCTGAAACTAATCTGTTGGTGAGAAGTCAGAAAGACGTGAGCTCACAGACTCTGCAGCTGCTGCATTAGCCTCTGCTGGCATAACACCCCCCCATATGTGGCACGCAACTGTCAGAGGCAGACTTGCATTGTGGGTAAAGTAGGCGGCAGGTTTTGAAAAGGAAAAACAGTGTGTGAAATGCACCGCACGGTACCAGCTCCACTCGCCTTTGTTTGGTTTTTCCGCTGTTTCGTATCACCTCCGTCAAGGTTCCAAGCGAGCGGAGGGAAACTAAAATGTGACGTGAAAACACGACAGGCTGCTGATTGGTCAGAGAGAATCGTCACTATTCACTGCATCATCATTCGCGCCAGACAGAGGCCAGCAACAGTTTTATATTTTACAAGTTTCATACGTTATTTCATCACTAAATCCACTTCTGAAGTTTTGAGATGAGAAATCAGCTGTGTAGATTTCGAATATTGACAGTTTTAGGAGAAGTGATGGCCAAACAAAAATGCGCTTGAAGGTTTTCAGAGTTGAGGAGCTCCGCAAGTGGCTGCGGGGGAAGCCTGCGGCGACCCGCGGGAGGAGCGTGTGAGGCCGAGCCAAGACCAGTTCCCCACATTACACGACACACAATAAAATGTGGAACGAGAATTAAGTGCTAATTCATTTGTGATTTAAATTAAATCTTTATTTCTTTTTCTTTCTTTCTAAGTGGCGGTAAAAGTTAATAACGTGGTCCCAGCCGTCTCCGTAAGGTCGCACTGCAGAATTTACAGCCACATCTTCTCCTCTCTGCCTCATTCACTTTCTTGGAGTGAAGGGCGGCGGGGACAGCAACCGTTAACGGGAACAACACATGATTTATTAGGTTTTACATCCAATCAAAGTTGGGATGTTAACAAATAAATCAGACAATGCAAAAGCAATTTATTGATATTCCCAAAGTTACGGTCTTGACTGGTCTTGAAATAAAATCCCGAGTCCTCAATGTCCGTCGAGACCGACACCATCAAGAAGAGGTCTTAGACCGGTCTACAACACGAGTGTGAAATAAAAAAGAGGATATCTCTGTTCTGCTGCGTAGATTTTGAGCGTTTTTCTTTTAAACGATGAGTCTACATGTCGATATCATCAGCTGTTGTGAGCTAACTGCAGATAAATCTGTAGCTGCGTTTATAACAGCTGAAAAATGGCAATTAAAAAAGAAACAGAGAGACGGATCCTTCAGTCATGTTATGAGTGTTGTCCTTGCATCTCTTGTCCACCAGAGGGCGCTCTGCAATCAGCTGGACTTAACCTCAAACAACACATGTTGGGGAGAATCTTTGTTCTTGTTATGAAAAACAGGATTTTACAGCAAGAGCTGAAGTGTGTTTCCGTCTCTCTCCCAGGACGACCGTGAGTTTCGGGATAAGATCACTCCCATCTCCGTGGCCATGGAGTACAGTCTGGACTACCAGCGGGCTGCAGACCCAACCGGACTGCTGCCCATCCTCGACATATCGGCCCCGACCGACGTCACCAAGCAGGTAGCGCCTCGTGTGTCCCGTCTGTGAAGCGGTTTCACAAAGACTGTTTGGCCTCTTTATTCTTCTTCTCTCTGTTCCCTCAGGCTCACATCCTGCTGGACTGTGGAGAGGACAACATCTGTAAACCGGACCTGAAGCTGTCGGTGAAGAGGTCTGAGATATTCTGTCGTGAAGTGGCGCTTTATAAACAGATTTTAATAGGAATAAAAAGCCACGTCTGTGTTTTATCTCCATTAAAACGATAATAACAAATTTATTTCCACACTTGCGTAGTTGAACCAGGACTCAAACATTTCAGGACAATTAGAACTAATGCATAAATAATAATTTATAAATAAGGTGATGTTTGTCTGAGTGTTTCTGTGCGTGTTGTCATTCTTTGTGTTGCTGCAGCGACCGGGAGCAGATCTACATCGGCGACGAGAACGCTCTGACTCTGGAGATCAGCGCTGAGAATCAGGGAGAGGGAGCCTACGAGGCCGAACTCCACGTCTACCCTCCACAGCAGGCCGACTTCACCGGCGCCGTCCGCAGTCAGGTGACTCCCTCGCGGCTTTAGGGTTCCTCTGAACGGATGTCAGTACTGAGGTCTCGGGTTACCTTCAGTGACTCGTTCACAGAACCTGTCGGTGGCTTTAGCTCGACAGATAATAACAGTCACAGACGGGTTCAGGTTCCTTTTATTGTCAACCAAACTTCAACCAACCCTGTCGGAGCAGAACAAGCAAGAGAAACATGACACTACAAAATATGAAGAGTTTGAGTTAAACTAAAATATGGTTTTAAATATAATAATAAAAAAAATATATATATATAAAGTTGCAGATTACTATAATCTATAAAACAGGTGGTAAAGCGACGAGTGTTGTGTTTTCACAGACCCTCAGCAGGCTGTCCTGCGCTTACAAGAAGGAGAACCAGACCAAGATGGTGGTGTGCGACCTGGGAAACCCCATGAAGGGAGGAACCAAGGTCAGTGAACGCATCTCATGCTGCATTCAGAGCGATTTAGGAGCTGATGTGACGTGTTGTGGGCAGATGGTGGAGTTTTATCTAGAAGCTGTCAATTATAAAAGATACGAGATGTTTTGCTGCCCGCAGGACGAACGTCTCTGTGTCTGAAGAACATTAAAGATATAATGTGTGTAGACCTTTGTGATGTTCCAGCAGTGCAGGAAAGGAAACTCAGATTAAAGCCTGTGTTAATATGTTTACACATGGCGGGCCCCGGGGACCCGTCCCCCGGCCACCTTTGGCCTGGCTCTGCTCCACATGTTGGATCCTAACACGATGTTCTCCTCTGTCTCCTCCTGCTTTCTGATTGGTCCCTTGCTGTCTCTTTCTGTGCTGTGATTGGCCAGGTGCTGGCAGAGCTGCAGTTCAGCGTGCACCAGCTGTCGGAGGAGGACACCTCAGTCCGGTTCGACCTGCAGATAGTCAGGTACGGTCCGTCCTCGCCTGGACCCGTTGAGCCTGACCGACGTCCTTCATGACTCGCATCTAAACACACAGACAGGAAACACAACAAGCCGCTCGTCCTAACTGCAGAACCTGCCGGAGAATCTTCCTGTTCTTGAGTTTTCCTCAGGATCAAAGTGACCCGGGGTCAGCAGTCCGTACCTCCATGCTAACTGCTAATTCAGCTACGTTTGTAGCGGCCCCTGTCCAATCAGAGCCGAGATGAGACCCGGTCGTCTCATCAGCATTCAGCAAAGCAGAGCTGCTTTTCTCCTGACGCTCATTTAAATCACAAACACAGCCAGCCTTTCCTCTGAGAGTCTGAATCTGTCGGTGGGAGGGAGGGCGGCATGTTAATGACGGGCTCCTTCAGTGTTCGGCGGTCCTTTACCTCGGGCTGTTTGGACCGGAGGAGACGTCTTCCAACAAACACATTCAGTTTTTAAACAATAAACCCTCTCTGCGGCTCTCCTTCCTGTGGACGTTGAATAAAAGCCTCTGCTACGTGATTAGAATCTGTATATCTGTATATTTATTTATGCAGCAGTGAGCGTCTGCGTCGCCGCTCACCCACGGCCCCTTGGCGAGCAGGTCAGCGGTCGCCTCATAATCTGGGTCTGAATTTTCCGTTTATTCATTTAGCTGACGTTTTTATGTGGGAGGTCGCACGCCTCTGGAGCAACTAGGGGTCAGAGACGCATTGGTGGATGTCGCAGTGGGGAAATTAACCCAGGTCTGCGTCTTATCCACTGCGCCATCTCCCCCGCCTTGTAATTCATTGTTGTTTACAAAGTAACGGCTGTAATCGGCGTGCATGTCGCTCAGCTCATCAGCTGTTATCACCGTCTGAAGAGCAGCTTTGGAAACTTTTATTTGCGGTCCGCACAGAGCCTAAAAACATTTTTTAAATACAAATCCCAAAATGTATTTCACCTCCCCCACTGGCGTTCCAGCGCATCACGATGCGTTTCATCAGTCATGTGTCTTAAAAAACGAAAAAGACATCTACTAAAACGGCCGCGTGTTGCAGCCTGAAGGGTTAAGTCGGGGTTTCATTTTGTGGCGTCAGAAGCTTAAAGCTCCTTCTGCTTGATGGATTTATCATCGATTAAAAATGTAATCAAGTCAATCACAATAAAAGGCTGTGATTAATCATGATCGTGTTTGAGGGAGGTGGGAGGAAAGAAATGCTGAGAAACTTTATATTTTATTTTATTATAACATCTTAACTAAGGCAGCGTGCTTTGACTTTTGGTTTGAGCTTCGGTTTTAACGTCTGGAAGATTTTTAAAACGTGATTTGCCATCGTGATGTTTCTGCTAACGGGAGGAAGTTGGGGACAAGCAGAATAACACCCTAACAGCGACAGCCCTGGTTTGTAGTTCATGGTATTTAACACAATTCATTGCAGCCGTTCGGGATTCAAATCCGGATTTCTCTTTTCCATAAATGTCAGTAATGTTAATGACTAATGTAAAGTCGCGTCCCAGGACAAGAGGCCGAGCGGTCTGAGCCTCCTCACGCCTTCACTCCCTTTATTCAGACTTTTGAAACTCTACCTGCACTGTGTTAAATGTTTCCATGATCACAAAGAAGTCCTGAATGAAATAAACTCTGTATCTTGGAAGGCAGCGGCTCCACCCTGTGGCTGCTTCAGGCACCGCAGCCACAGACCCGCTGTGACGGCTCTTGGAGTGTGCTCCTGAATTCATTTCTGTTTGTTTGTTTTTATCTAACCAGCTCTAACCAGTTCAACAACACCAGCCCTCGAGTGTCCAGCACCACCAAACTGGCTGTCCTCGCCAAAGTCTCCATCAGAGGGTAAAACACACACAGCCACGTTTCCCTTCAGAGGACGTTACAGAGACTTCCTCTAACCCTGAACCTTAAACCAATGCTGCGCCTCCCTCTGAGGTCTGAACTCAAACACTGTGCCTGTTTGTTTCCTCAGGTCGTCGTCTCCCAGCCAGGTGCTGCTCCCCATCGCCAACTGGGTGGTGAAACAGCCTCCTGTGGTCGGAGACGACATCGGACCGCAGATACTTCAGGTCTACGAGGTACAAACGCAAGTTTAAACTCAGTCTGAAGTGTTGTGCAAAGAGGGAGCAATGAAAGACAGCAGCGTCTGTTCAGTGTAATGCGTAATGATCCGTCCTGCTCTCAGCTGCAGAACAACGGGCCCAGTACGTTCAGTAAGGCGGCGCTGGAGGTGCTCTGGCCGTACCAGTACAAGAACGGCTCGCTGCTCTACATCACCAGCTTCGAAACCGAGGGACCAATCAACTGCACCACGGACATGGAGATCAACCCGCTCAACGTCTCGGTACAAACACACACATATGTTGTGATTGATGAAAGCAGGGATCAGTAAAGTCAGGAACCTCTCAGGCTCTGACACCAGACGGGTTATTAAACAGGACCAGTCTGTGTTTTACTGCAGTAAACGTACGTGAGAAACCAGAACCTAAAGTAATAAAGCAGTAAAATGTTGTACTTCTTCTTGCTGCTGCAGCTCATTCTGAACTGTTTCAAACTGCAGCTGATTCTTTTCATTCCGGATCAATCTGCTCATTATTTCCTCCTTTTTTTAAAATCACTTTCTGTGTTCGGCCTAATGAGTCCGAATAAATCACGTCGACGTGTCGGCAGTGTGGAAGCATTTTAAAGTGTCCATTAAAAGTAAACTGACTGATGTCGGGCCCCGGACCCCCCCAGCATAGTCTCTCCACATCCTGTGGGAAACATGAGGAGAAAACTCATTTTGACTGTTTAATTTATGCAATGGTAAAAATAAAAGAGGCAAAAATGTGAATGTACCTGTTCGGTACTCGGGAAAGTTTTTCATGACATTCGGTTTCGGTGCATCACTAGTTTGTTTGGTTTGTAAAGATTAACCCAGAGTCCAAAGTGACCCCTTCACAACGCAACAACTTTAAAGGAGAAGCTGAAACATCAGCGTGTTTAAACTGTTGGAAGTTTAATTCAATCATTCATTTTAATTGATAACATCAGATTTTATAAACTCTTCATGTGTAAAGTTACTAAAGCTGTCAGATAAACTGTGAACTAAAAACACTCAAGTACAAGTACTTCAAATGTTTACTGAAGTACAATACTTGAGTAAATGGACTTTTTTTCCCCCTCAAAGATAAAATAAATATCAGAAAACCAAATTGTGTGTGTGTATTAGAACCCGATGGCCCCGGCGAAGAACACCAGCGGGGTTCCACCCAGAGAACACGAGGGACGGAACAAAAACCACATCCGCAAGAGAGACCTGGAGTCGAGAGACACGCAGAGCGACCTGCAGACACTGGTACGCGCACACACACACAGAGCTGTAGGTGTAATGCGACGCCTCGTCCTCAGCTGCTCATGGTGAGCAGGTAAAGCTACCAGGAAGTGGCCCAGGGAGGCTCATCCTCCAGGTTGGTGATGTAGTCACCACGGTAAGATCTTTAAAGACCAGACGGGAGAAAAAGAGCTTTACTAGAGGCAAAAATAAAAATAAGGGGCCGGTTGCACAAAAAAAACTTAAGTTAAGATTTTCCTTAAAGTCTGAGTTGCACAAAACACCCTTAAATCTTCTCCTTAATGTTTCCTTAAAATGTTCACTTAAGTGTGTGATGTTTTCTCCTTATCTTGGTCTTATACTTAAGGAATCCCTTAAGTGTGTTAAACTGTTGCACAAAAGACCTCAGCAACCAAACTAAGGAAAATAATTTAAGGGACCTCTGGCTTTATCTTAACCGCAACACGGTTGAGTTTATGGCGATAAATGAAGAAAATGTACGTATCCTGAGATCCGGGAGAATCCAATGGATGCACTAAACGATGAGCAAAACAAGAAGGCTGTCAAATTTATCGCCAGCTAGCAAAATGGTCTAGTTTATATCTGTAGCCTGAATAAAGTTATTCTCACCAGTTGATTCCTTTTTATAATTAGTGATCTCTTTTTTGGCAACAACATACTTATTTTGGATCCCCTGGATGAACCTCTTCACAAGACTCTTAGCGATTTCCTCCCACATTTGATGATTTTTTCCGACCGCTGAGAGTTGAAAAATGTTCAACTTTGGGAAAAACGCTGCGCTCGTCACGGCCACTTTTTTACCCAGCCGTCCGACCACAGTGCAGGAGGGGCGGGACAAATACCCTGGAAGTGGGTTTCGTCCAGCTCTTGGACCAAACGGTTGGTACTCGCTGAGATGTTTCCTCGCCCACAAAATCTCATGAACCCACATGCGGCGAGTCCGTCCTCCCTGTCTACCTGCTTCAGCCTTCTCTTCATACAGAGCGAGTGCTCTACTAAAGTTCGGTAGAACTACTTGCACAGATTTTTATGTATCATATCAGCTGGTAAAAAACATTTAAAGGGATTCTGTGCAACACCAGTAAGTACATTCTTCAGCTAAGGAGAAACTAAGACTTAAGGATCACACTTAAGAAAAAACTTAAGGTTTCTTGTGCAGTCGGCCCCTGGACTCCGTCTCTGAGCACAGAGGGAACTGACAGGATCACTTTGATGGTCAGAGCACCAGGTGTGTGCTGCTGATTATTCATTAGTGTGTGTGTGTGTGTGTGTGTGTGTAGGACTGCACCACAGCAAAGTGTCTGCACCTGAAATGTCAGGTCGGTCGTCTGGAGAGGACGAAGAACGCCATCCTCTTCATCTACTCCAGACTGGACGTCAACAACTTCCTCCAGGTAAACAACCTTTAAGGACATTTTATTTATTTGCCTTTAAACAGGAAGTCCCGTTGAGATCGGCCGGTCGACCAGGTCATAAAGCGCATCACGGTGAGAACAGGAACCAGAGAGCATGTTTCCAGTGTAGATGCATCACAGTAAGGCGCCGATAAAACAAAGGAGTGTGTCCCGCTGTTATGATTATAAATCAGACAGAAAAACCTGCTTCTCATTCTGTTCGTTTGTACTCACAGTTTGTTCGGATTCATTTATTAAAATTAAACAGGATGTGTTCAAACTTTCTGGGTTCTGTTTCCAGACAGCGATTAATCTTAAAAGTTAAGAAAGTTTTTAAGTGTTTACACGTGTTTCCCAGAGCAGCACATGTGGAGGGCAGCTTCTGGTTAGCTTAGCTTAGCATAATCCAAATCAGAAACAGGTTTATTGGCAAGTAGGTTTTCACGTTCAAGGAATTTGTTGCCATAACGGTCAAAAACACGAGTAATACCATAAATATAAAACATAAATAAGTGAAATGTGTTTGTGTTAAAGTGTACAGTGATGTGCAAACGTTCACAGCATAGAGAAAATGCAGGATTAACAACTGGTGGAAGCTGTTGTTACACATCTGGAGATGATTGATTGCAGATCTTTCAGACATGTGATCTTGTTTTGTTTTCTGTCTTTACAGCCGGAGAATCAGAATCTTTCATATATGGTTCGATCTACGGCCTCCTTCACTGTCATCGAGATGCCGTACAAGAACCTGCCGTCGGATCTCCCGTCCAACACCACCGCTGTAAGAGACTCTCACTCCGACGGGCAGCCAGCTGACAGAACGCCACCAAACGGCTGCTGCACTTTCATTTACAGAAACGTTTCTTTAAGCTCGTTATAAGCCGTGTTCCTGCTTATAGATGCTAAACAGAGGAGGTTAACCGGTAATACACTGGTTAACTTTGATTTGTGAATTTCAAACCAATAGCAAGCCGCGCTGACAGAGCTGATCTGCGAGTGGACGGAGGAAGCTATCGTAGCTTATCAGCTGTGTGTTGCCCTCTCGTAATATGGAGCCGTTGTGAATGACTGGACTAGCGGCAGCACGTTTCTGGCTGGTGTGTTGGCGGCTAGTTCGCCGACCACGTCACCGAACAGCAGTTCACTGTGAAACACAGACCTCCTTTCTTCATAACCCAGAGCTGTGAAATCAGCAGGTTGGCACTGTGGCTAAAGAAGCTACAGCAGTAGTAGCATTAGCGTTGGTCACTAGACTTTGCTCTGATGTTACTGGGTTTGGTTTCATAAAACAACTCTTAAGTGTTTTGCACAAAAGTGAAGCATGACAGGAGGAAAACACCATCGAGGTCCTGCTCACCTACATCCTGATGACAACAGGCCTCTGCTACCTTACATGCAGATTTAATTGTTGAGTTTCTCTAAATATCATCACAGAGTACAGACTAGACCTGCTCTTTTATGAAAAGCGCTCTGAGATAACTGTTGTTGTGATTTGAATTACAGAAACAATATTACGCATTACACAGTCCATATTTACTGAAATACTTAAGTATACGTTCATCTTTCTCTCCTCTTTCCATTGCTTTAGATGTAAACTGTTGCTTTATTCATTATTTCTGCGTCTCTGCAGCCACAGTCTGACGGGTGTTTAAAGGTTGACTGTGTTTTCAGGTGAGCGTGTCGGTGATGTGGGTGGCCGACGCTCCTCAGCCGGTTCCCGGCTGGGTGGTGGCTCTGGCTGTGCTGGCGGGACTGCTGCTGCTGGCGCTGCTCATCTTCATCATGTACAAGGTGAGACACAAACAGGGCCGAGGAAGGAGGGGGGGGGTCGACGGAGAGGCTTTACTGTGCGTTTCCAGGTGTTTAAAAGGGTCTCAGAGGGATCTGTGTGACGTCTGATACAGGAAAGAAGTGAGCTCGGGCGACATTAGCCGTTACTGGGATAACACACCACAATCTACCACACAGCTGGCAGAGGGAGAGCTGTATTGTGGGTAATGTAGGCGGCAGGTTTCGACAAGGAAGAAGAATGTGTGGAATAAAAAGCAGGGTATCTCAAGTTCTGCTGCGTCGATTTGGATCGTTTTTAACGGACCGTCGTGAGTGGGGTTGGGTATCGTTTGGATTATTTTACGATTCAGGTGCCAAAACTGATACTTTAAAAAAGGTTCCGATGCCAAAAGTGATACTTTGAAAAAGGTTCCGTTGCCAAAACTGATACTTTAAAAAGGTTCCGATGCCAAAATTGATATTTTAAAAAAGGTTCCGTTGCCAAAAGTGATATTTTTAAAAAGGTTCCGATGCCAAAAGTGATACTTTTAAAAAGTTCCATTGCCAAAAGTGATATTTTAAAAAGGTTCTGTTGCCAAAAGTGATATTTTTAAAAAGGTTCCGATGCCAAAAGTGATACTTTTAAAAAGGTTCCGATGCCAAAAGTGATACATTAAAAGGTTCCGTTGCCAAAAGTGATATTTTAAAAAGGTTCCGTTGCCAAAAGTGATACTTTTAAAAAGATTCCGTTGCCAGAAGTGATACTTTAAAAAGGTTCCAAGGTTCCGATGCCAAAAGTGATACTTTTAAAAAGGTTCCGATGCCAAAACTGATAGTTTAAAAAAGGTTCCGTTGCCAAAAGTGATATTTTTAAAAAGGTTCTGTTGCCAAAAGTGATATTTTTAAAAAGGTTCCGATGCCAAAAGTGATACTTTTAAAAGGTTCCGATGCCAAAAGTGATACTTTTAAAAAGGTTCGATGCCAAAAGTGATACTTTAAAAAAGTTCCGTTGCCAAAAGTGATATTTTTAAAAAGGTTCTGTTGCCAAAAGTGATATTTTTAAAAAGGTTCCGATGCCAAAAGTGATACATTAAAAAGGTTCCGTTGCCAAAAGTGATACTTTTAAAAAGATTCCGTTGCCAAAAGTGATACTTTAAAAAGGTTCCAAGGTTCCGATGCCAAAAGTGATACTTTTAAAAAGGTTCCGATGCCAAAAGTGATACTTTAAAAAAGGTTCCGATGCCAAAAGTGATATATTAAAAAGGTTCCGATGCCAAAAGTGATACTTTAAAAAGGGTCCGATGCCAAAAGTGATACTTTAAAAAGGGTCCGATGCCAAAAGTGATACTTTAAAAAGGGTCCGATGCCAAAAGTGATACTTTTAAAAAGGTTCCGATGCCAAAAGTGATACTTTTAAAAAGGTTCCGATGCCAAAAGTGATACTTTAAAAAAGTTCCGTTGCCAAAAGTGATATTTTTAAAAAGGTTGTTGCCAAAAGTGATATTTTTAAAAAGGTTCCGATGCCAAAAGTGATACTTTTAAAAAGGTTCCGATGCCAAAAGTGATACTTTAAAAAGGTTCTGTTGCCAAAAGTGATACTTTAAAAAGGTTCCGTTGCCAAAAGTGATAGTTTAAAAAGGTTCCGTTGCCAAAAGTGATATTTTTAAAAAGGTTCTGTTGCCAAAAGTGATATTTTAAAAAGGTTCCGATGCCAAAAGTGATACTTTTAAAAAGGTTCCGATGCCAAAACTGATAGTTTAAAAAGGTTCCGTTGCCAAAAGTGATATTTTAAAAAGGTTCCGATGCCAAAAGTGATACTTTTAAAAAGGTTCCGATGCCAAAAGTGATACTTTTAAAAAGGTTCCGATGCCAAAAGTGATACTTTAAAAAAGTTCTGTTGCCAAAAGTGATATTTTTAAAAAGGTTCTGTTGCCAAAAGTGATATTTTTAAAAAGGTTCCGATGCCAAAAGTGATACTTTTAAAAAGGTTCCGATGCCAAAAGTGATACATTAAAAAGGTTCCGTTGCCAAAAGTGATACTTTTAAAAAGATTCCGTTGCCAAAAGTGATAGTTTAAAAAGGTTCCAAGGTTCCGATGCCAAAAGTGATACTTTTAAAAAGGTTCCGTTGCCAAAACTGATAGTTTAAAAAAGGTTCCGTTGCCAAAACTGATAGTTTAAAAAGGTTCCGATGCCAAAAGTGATATATTAAAAAGGTTCCGATGCCAAAAGTGATACTTTAAAAAAGGTTCCGTTGCCAAAAGTGATACTTTAAAAAAGGTTCCGATGCCAAAAGTGATACTTTAAAAAAGGTTCCGTTGCCAAAACGGATACTTTAAAAAGGTTCCGTTGCCAAAAGTGATACTTTAAAAAAGGTTCCGATGCCAAAACGGATACTTTAAAAAGGTTCCGTTGCCAAAAGTGATACTTTTAAAAAGGTCTGGAGTCTGTTACGGGACACTCACAGCTCATCTGTCCTGTTTTAACTGTCTTGTTTTTCTGTTTTTTGTTGTATGTTTATAAAATGGTCGGTTTTTATTTATCAGTTTCGACTTAAAAAAAACTAACCCGACAACAACACTTTAAACACAAATGTAAAATGCTAAACTCATCAGCCCCCACTGTTTCTTCTCTTCCTCTTCAGCTGGGATTCTTCAACCGGGTCCGCCCCCCCCAGGAGGACTGCACTGAGAAGGAGCAGCTGCAGCCGGAGGAGAACGGCAACACTGACACCTAGAGGCCGAGCTCTGCCTGTACAGAAAGCTTTGGGGTTAAACGGCCGTTTAGAGAAAGTCACTGTTTTCACTGTTGGATGCAGATCATGGTACTGGATGTGTTTTTTTGTTTTTGTTTTAACTGGTCATGTTATGTTTGTGCCAAAAGAGAAGCTCCGCCTGAGTTACACTGGTCACAGATGGAAGTCTTTAACATTTTAACATTAGTTAAACTTTGGGAAATCCTCTCTGAGAGTCACATGTTCAGTCTGGTGCCACGCTCATGACGTAAAGATAGAGACGTAGAGATAGAGAGAAGATCGTTCGTCTGCACCAGAGCTTTGGGAGTTTGGCCTGATATTTAATTTGCACTTTTTTTTGTGTCCAAACCCCAAACGATTGATGAACTGTTGACACTTATTGCCCAGAAAAAGTCCAGAACTGCTGATAAAGTCATTTCTTGGATCAAACACTGTTTTCTGAGAGACTTTTGTACAGAACAGGGAGGTGATCCTCTCTGGGTTTCACTACGGGGGAGGAAGATCTGGACTCGCAGGGTTAAGTCTCTTTTATACTTCTGCGTCGAGTCGGTGGCATGGCCAACGTGCAGCCCCGTCCCCTCCTCCAGAGCCTGACGTGCACCTCCTCAAAAATGTAACTACACGTCGGGGCAACGCGGACCATAAGAACTGTGATTGGTCGGCTGGGTAGCCACGCAGTGCCTCAGAGCCGACAGGAAGTGCTCCGTGCTTTGGAGGAAATTTTAGTAGCGGCCGGTCCAGCGGCTATAACACGGTGGATCAATATATTTGAGCGCCACACCCCGAGCGACATGACTCGTTTCACCATCGGACTGTGATCCATTCGGTCGATAACATTTGGCCACACCAGCCGCACCTATACAGTTTTACAAACATCAACACAGTGGACGCTGTAGCGCCACCGCCAACTAGCGTTCTGCGGTGTAATTGCAGAACGACACAGACGCAGAGGGATAAATAAGGCTTAAGCCTGTGTTGAGTCTATGCCGTAGCCTTCAGCCCACGCATTTATACTTGTGCGTTGGTGTCTGAGTCATTCTGCAATTACACCGCCAAACGCTAGTTGGCGGTGGCGCTACAGCGTTATATCTTCCTGTTTAGCCCTCCGCTAACTCGAATGGGAGTAAAATAATCATTGTGCAGCTCTTCTAGACTTTCCAAATGTTATCGGACCGGATGCGTGAAATTCTGGCAGTGAAGTGAGTCCTGTCGAGAGGGCAAGGTTACTGTCGTTAACTAAAACTAATGAAATAACTAAAACTAGGTGTGAAAAAACATTTTTGTTACCTGAAATAAAATAAAAACAAGCCTTTGGGAAAAAAACAATTACTGAAACGTTACCATCTGTTTGAAAAACTCGCCGAAATAAACGTCTTTTTATGTCACAGAGCCGACGTGAGCCGAGTTTTTTTTGGTGGATATGAAATCCAGTCTCTTTTTTAGTCCACGCAGAAAGTCTAAAACTAACTAAACTAAAACTGAGCATTTTCAAAAAATAAACTAAACTGGCAAACCTGCTTGAAAGACTAATTCAAATTAACTGAAAGTCAAAACGAAACAAAAATAAAAACCTAATCATAGAGAAACTATAAAAAACTTGCTCTGCGATTGTGACGCTCACAAATATTGATCTTGTTATAGCCGCTGGTTTGGCCGCTACTAAAATTGGCTTCAAAGCACAGAGCACTTCCTGTTTGCTTGGAGAAAATGCCGCCAAGCCGACCAATCGCACTTCTGCGTCGCCCTGACGTGTAGTTACATTTTTGGGCAGGTGCAGTCAGGCTGCGACGTAGCTTCAACGCAGAAGTATAAATGTGGCTTTAGCTTCCACACTGCGTTGGCTGCTCCTCCCAGACTCCACGTGAAACACTGAAAACACCCAAAAACAAACAAACAGTTTAAAAATCTCGACTCGATTTATCAAAATGAGCCAAAAAACAGTGAAATATTTTGCTTATGAACGAGTGATTAATGTGTGCGTCTGAATAAGGCTGATGAGCCGCATTCAGGTGTCTGTTCCTGGATACAGGTGGTGTAGTCTGATATGGGGTGTTATTATATATTGACCCTGATAAAGTTTTCCTGCTCTGTGGGTGTGGGTCGTCACTGCTCAGCTTCGGGAAGCTGCTTTGGTGATTTTCAGTAATTTGTTTGTGTCCCGTTCATTTCAGCTCCATCAAACTAAACAATGCTCAGGTGGAAAATCAGTGCAAGTGATGAGTTCTTGTGTTGGAAAGACGTTAAGCTAACGTTAGCAGCTCTGTCCGGATCTTTTTATTAACTCTACCTGTCAGACGTTTTAGAACAGCCGCCATGTTTGTAGTTCTTCTGTAAATGTGAGCAGCTAAAGTTCAGTGAAAAACCTTAAATAGAACCAAAGTCAGCAGCAAAAGTTAAAACAACATTTACGCCATCAAAACAAGACATTTTCAGATCTAAATTTAACAACTAAATGAAGATGTTTTGTTCATTATGTCACGGTAGGATCAACTGATGACCAGCGTCTCTGTCTTCCCTCATTAATATTATATATAATAGATGTAATTTGAATTAACAGGCTGCTCCAAGGTGTTTACTGTAGACATGAGTTTACTTTCCTTCCACTGCTGCAGAATAACTGGAAGTTATTAACTCATTACTTCTAAATCTCTGAAATTTACATTATTTCTCAGTTTTTCTGACCTGAACATTGTCTTTACCTTCTTTTGGTTATTCTGCTGCTAAAACTAAAACTTCTGTCCTGTAGTGTAAATCTGAGACAGATACGGCCGCCAAACACGTCAGTTTGAGAAAACATGTTTTCAGGTCAGACGTCACAAAACGCTTCACAGTGGAAGGAGACACGATATCGAAATAACAGAATTGAGATTAAAAACAAATAAGTAAAACTAGAATCTAAGCAGGTGTGTCGTCACATCTCATGTTTGAGGCAGCTCCACGTTACAGCTGAGAACAAGCTGTTAATGTAATAATCAGTTCACCGGGACTAACTCGCTCTCCACTGCAGTACAGTGCTGCCTCTTTGTTAGCATTAGCTTCAGTCTGTTTAGCATCGAGTGTTTATTCAAGATCACATTTACAACATTCTCGAAATCTGTCGGCGTTGTCGTTTTAAACTGTTAGAAAGATGGACTGGCGTAGCAGCAGGAACTAAAGAGGGCGGGGCTTAACGAGCAGTTGCACTGAGGCGCCTTTGCTCTTCCACATGTTTGATTTTTGTAATTTTAAAAAAAAATAGTATTTGTCGTCAGATTTCAGAGTCGTTTCCGGCAGCGAAAATGCAACATGGTCTGAAAGCAGCAGGTTTATGTTTCGTGTGTGTGTGAATATATATATATAAAAAACAAGATAAAAAAGACGTTGCTATGAATTTTACCCATATTGGGTTTGTGTCATCAAATAATGTTGAAGGTTGGCGATTATTCTAAAAGTCTATTAATCCAGTAAATGGTGAAATAACTTTGGCTTCTTATCTGCTGCTTCCCTGTTTGAAGATCCTGCGCTGCCGCCGCCGCCGCCACCAGAAGTCACCGTTAGCAGGCTCCTGGTTTCTGGGTTTAGGGATGCTCTGATGCTGTTTTCACAGAATCACTCCTGTCCTCTCACGCCGACTCGTTCACAAGTAGCTCAGCTGCTCGCAGTGTGAACGTGTTGAAGGAACACGTCGAATCACTTTCCTGCTGAGAGTCAGATATTCAGATTTAAACCACTCTCTTGGCTGTTCGCTAAATATGAAGCTACAGCCAGTTAGCTTAGCCGAAGTCCCGCCACTCGGCAGCCATCCTGGTAACGGCTCCTGGTGGTTATTTGGGACCAACTTCATTTACAGCTCTGTCCAGATACTAAACAGTACATATTCAGAATATAAGATAACACACGGGACATGTTTGGGGTCCCTGTAAAATAATTACCTCCCTTGGTAATCCGGCATCTGCTCATGTTAGCTTAGAAACTGCGACCCTGAACACGTTATATCTTGTTTTATCTGTAAAAACAAACCTAAAGGACAGATTAAGTTTGTTTGTCGATGCCTCCCAGAACAACAAATACGAGCGTTTCTTGTACCAGTTCAGCGACTGGACTTTCATTATTATTATTATTATTATTGTAGTCACATGACATCAAACGCATGGTTAATGTTGTGAAACACTCGCAGTTTGGTTAGGTTTAGGAAAGCTTTGTGGTTTGGTTTAAAGTAAGTTCATTACATAACTCAGAATTTGACAGAATTTAAAAAATGGTATTTAACTTAAAATTCACTTTAGAGAACATAAGCCCCGCCCCTTCCGGTGGACCACCATGGGACCTTACTTCGGAAAAAATAAGTACGTTATTCAACGGCAAAAGACAACTAATTGTTTCATCCCGTTTGAATTGTGCTCCGAATTACACACGATTGTTTGTCAGTTTAAAATGTATATTTCAAAGTCAAAAAAGTCGCAGTTTGATGTAAAACTGTTGAAGTATAAGACTGAAAATACATAATTACAAAGACCCCAAACCCAAAAGTTGCATATGTCACGTCATAACCTTTTCTCTCCATGACTGAAGCTAACGTTTCTGAAGCTAACGTTTCTGAAGCTAACGTTACTGAAGCTAACGTCAAAGAACTGACAGGATGATGTGATAAAAGGACCAAGAGTCGTTGGATCAGGTGAGATATTTCTGCGTGTAACATGGTTATTTAGCTAGCAGCAACCAAGCAATAAACGTTAGCTTAACATTACCGCGCTAACATGTTGGTGACGTATATTGTGCAAGACGAGAAATGTAGTTCATTGAACCGTTTTCACACAAAACAACGTGTAACTTTACTGTCTAATGAAAAACTGCAGCTTTCTTAACAACAAAATTATCTTTTAAATTGACAAACAACGTGTGTAATTCAAAAATAAGATGTCTCTCACCGCTGACATACATACGTACATATTTTTCCCGAAATAAGGTCCCATGGACTTGGGCGCTCTATACCTCAACAGTTACTTGGTTTTACACGGGACTTGAAAGTCGTTCTCCTGTGTGAAAGTCCTGGATTTTACCCGTCCACCTCCTTATGCGGACTTTCTCACTAATAATACATCACCAGACTGCTATAGGTCGCTGCAATAAAAAACATAATTATGGGTCCTGAAATACTAAATACATTCATCCCATGTGGTCGTGGTCGTTATGCTAAGCTAAGCTAACCATGTGCTGATAGAGCTTCATATTAAAGAGTTTTGATATTCTAATTTGACTCTCAGCAAGAAAGTGAGAGTTTTTCCCAAAATGTTAATTATTCCTTTAAAGGCCCTGAAAACTTTCTCTATAGCAGCAAAGTTTAAAACAAACACTTTTAGCTGTTATTTATTTTAAATATTTAGTTTAACTCTCAGTAGCTCAGCTCAGCTGTGTGGGAGAGATTTGATCAGATTTGTGGCCCTGAGACATTTTTTAAGGGTCTGCTGCGTTTATGAAAGGTGATAAAGGAGAACTGGTCTCAGGAGCATCTGTGCGTCCCGACTCTGTTTTTATAAAGATATTTCTGAAGACGTCGGAGTTTGAACTGGCAGAGAGCTTTTCCCTCGTCTGCAGGGTTCAGCAGGACCGACGTCAATTCACTTTCAACGCAGTCACCACCAAAAATATTCAACAAAAGAAGCGATTTATTAAACATTCGTGGTAACTTCTCAGGACAGCTGTTAAACTTTGAACAGGAACAGTTAAAGAAAAGGTTTGGGAAAGTCTCTGAAATAAAATCAGACAGAGCTAATCAGTGATTTGAAGTCGGTCCTGCTGGTGTGTGTCTGTTTTATATTTAATACTAACACTGTCTCTTTCTTTCTGCCTCGAGAAAATATGGACTATTTTTGATGTATGTATTCTTTCACCTAGAGAATAACAATCAACACATTTCTTAAAGAGATGATTTCACCTTTTGAGCTGAAATAAACTGATTTGTTCACATTTTATTCTCTCTTTTGTCTTGATTTTGTTATTTTTAACTTGATCAGAAATACATGACAGAAGTCACAGATGGTGTTAACGACACTGTCCACTTATATATTAGTAAAATAAATTCTTACAAGACTGAAGAAGAGACGAGACTAACGTTAGCTGCTCTCTGCGATGCATACGTGTAACTTAATGCTTACGTAACCGTAATAACTTGGTGTTTGACATTTTGTTGAAGCACTCTGTAAGTTAGAAAAGTACCATAATTGTACATATTTATATCTAACCGTCTCAGTACATGCACAGCTGTTAAGTGTCTGACACACTAACAGAAAACATCTTCACAGAGACGCCGTGGACTTTTAATATTTATTGTGTTTCAACCACAACATTCATCCACAACAATATTGTGAAAGGGTGAGACACTGGCACTTGTTTCCTGTTTCCCTCTGATTGGTCAACGTGTGAGCAGGAAGCTGAGGTCACTACCTGGGTCGTACTCCACTGTGGGCTTCCCCCTAAAACACACAAAACTGGTGTTACTGGTGTTACTGGTGTTACTGGTGTGCTGTCAGGTTCTCCATGCACTCTGTGTGTGTGTGTGTGTTACCGGGTGAAGAGTCTGGCCTTGGTGGTTCCCAGTAGTGTGGCTTTGTCGCCCTCCACCAGCAGCAGGGATCCCTCCCTCAGACCCTGAAAATGCACAAAATTAAATGACCACAAATTCTCTAATAAACGCTGGCGAGTCGCCTTCTCAGCGCGCTCACACAGACAAAGACAAAACAGCGGTGGTTGTTACGGCTGCAGTAGCGCTAGCGGTGCTAGCGGTGGTTGTAAAGGCTGCAGTAGCGCTAGCGGTCCTAGCGGTGGTTGTTACGGCTGCAGTAGCGCTAGCGGTGGTTGTTACGGCTGTAGTAGCGCTGGCGGTGCTAGCGGTGGTTGTTACGGCTGCAGTAGCGCTAGCGGTGCTAGCGGTGGTTGTTACGGCTGCAGTAGCGCTAGCGGTGGTTGTTACGGCTGCAGTAGCGCTAGCGGTGGTTGTTACGGCTGCAGTAGCGCTAGCGGTGCTAGCGGTGGTTGTTACGGCTGCAGTAGCGCTAGCGGTGCTAGCGGTGGTTGTTACGGCTGCAGTAGCGCTAGCGGTGGTTGTTACAGCTGCAGTAGCGCTAGCGGTGCTAGCGGTGGTTGTAAAGGCTGCAGTAGCGCTAGCGGTGGTTGTTACGGCTGCAGTAGCGCTAGCGGTGCTAGCGGTGGTTGTTATGGCTGCAGTAGCGCTAGCGGTGCTAGCGGTGGTTGTTATGGCTGCAGTAGCGCTAGCGGTGGTTGTTACGGCTGCAGTAGCGCTGGCGGTGCTAGCGGTGGTTGTTACGGCTGCAGTAGCGCTAGCGGTGCTAGCGGTGGTTGTTACGGCTGCAGTAGCGCTAGCGGTGCTAGCGGTGGTTGTTACGGCTGCAGTAGCGCTAGCGGTGCTAGCGGTGGTTGTTACGGCTGCAGTAGCGCTAGCGGTGGTTGTTACGGCTGCAGTGGCGCTAGCGGGGCTAGCGGTGGTTGTAAAGGCTGCAATAGCGCTAGCGGTGCTAGCGGTGGTTGTTACGGCTGCAGTAGCGCTAGCGGTGCTTGTTACGGCTGCAGTAGCGCTAGCGGTGCTTGTTACGGCTGCAGTAGCGCTAGCGGTGCTTGTTACGGCTGCATTAGCGCTAGCGGTGCTTGTTACGGCTGCAGTAGCGCTGGCGGGGCTAGCGGTGGTTGTAAAGGCTGCAGTAGCGCTAGCGGTGCTAGCGGTGGTTGTTACGGCTGCAGTAGCGCTAGCGGTGGTTGTTACGGCTGCAGTAGCGCTGTCGGTGCTAGCGGAGGTTGTAAAGGCTGCAGTGGCGCTGGCGGTGCTAGCGGTGGTTGTAAAGGCTGCAGTGGCGCTAGCGGTGGTTGTAAAGGCTGCAGTGGTGCTGGCGGTGGTTGTTACGGCTGCAGTGGCGCTGGCGGTGCTAGCGGTGGTTGTAAAGGCTGCAGTGGTGCTAGCGGTGGTTGTTACGGCGGCAGTAGCGCTGGCGGTGCTAGCGGTGGTTGTAAAGGCTGCAGTGGTGCTAGCGGTGGTTGTTACGGCTGCAGTAGCGCTGGCAGTGCTAGCGGTGGTTGTTACGGCTGCAGTAGCGCTAGTGGTGGTTGTTACGGCTGCAGTAGCGCTAGCGGTGGTTATAAAGGCTGCAGTGGCGCTGGCGGTGCTAGCGGTGGTTGTAAAGGCTGCAGTAGCGCTGGCGGTGCTAGCGGTGGTTGTTACGGCTGCAGTAGCGCTAGCGGTGGTTGTAAAGGCTGCAGTAGCGCTGGCGGTGCTAGCGGTGGTTGTAAAGGCTGCAGTAGCGCTGGCGGTGCTAGCGGTGGTTGTAAAGGCTGCAGTAGCGCTGGCGGTGCTAGCGGTGGTTGTTACGGCTGCAGTAGCGCTAGCGGTGGTTGTAAAGGCTGCAGTAGCGCTGGCGGTGCTAGCGGTGGTTGTAAAGGCTGCAGTAGCGCTGGCGGTGCTAGCGGTGGTTGTAAAGGCTGCAGTAGCGCTGGCGGTGCTAGCGGTGGTTGTTACGGCTGCAGTAGCGCTAGCGGTGGTTGTAAAGGCTGCAGTAGCGCTAGCGGTGGTTGTAAAGGCTGCAATAGTGCGAGTATTAGCACTCTGCAAAGCTGCATTATGCCGACTGGACCGAGACAACAAAACTCACCAGGACACAAGGAGTATCAGGTTCTTCATGGTACTGGGTGATCCTCTGCTCTCTGGTCTCCTGCAACAACATCATACACACAGCGTTAGGGATGTTTCATAAAAATATATTTCTATCATGATAAACACAACTAATGGCCTCATCATTCACTAAGAGACTGTGTCTCAATGGGACTTTTCCTGTTTAAACAAAGGTTTATAAATAACAGTAATCCGTGTCCTCAGTCTGCTGGTCTTCAGCAAACTATTTGCAGCTTTCTTGTGCATCATCTTCAGAAGAGGCTTCCTTCTCGTATGACAGCCGTGTAGTTTGATGCAGTGTGCGGCGTACGGTCTGAGCCCTGACAGGCTGACCCCCCAACCTCTGCAGCAATGCTGGCAGCACTCATACGTCTGTTTCCCAAAGACAACCTCTGGATATGGCGCTGAGCACGTGCACTCATCTTCTTTGTTTGACCATGGCGAGGCCTGTTCTGAGTGGAACCTGTCCTGTTGAACCGCTGTATGGTCTTGGCCACCGTGCTGCAGCTCAGTTTCAGGGTCTTCTTACAGCCTCGGCCATCTTTATGTAGAGCAGCCGTTCTTTTTTTCAGATCCTCAGAGAGTTCTTTGCCATGTTGAACTTCCAGTGACCAGGATGAGGGAGTGTGAGAGCGATAACACCGAAGCTGGTTATCAACTCGCTAACTCAACCCAGGGTTTCCCAATCCAGCCGGGAGCGCGTTCACATCAAAGAGGCAGAGTCAACAGACCAATCAAAGACATGAACAAGTCTACTGGCAGCAGAGCGTCAACTGTGACACAACAGAAATACGACCTGGTCTAAGCAGCACGTCTGCATCTGACACATGCAGGGACACATAAAATCAGTGTGAATGCCTAAATGAACAGGCGTAGTCTATAATATGCATTGATTTGATGTGTTAAGCGTTCTTCTTTCAGCTCGGCTGTGTCGGCGTTTCCACATTAAAAGGCTCGGGCGCTGAAGACGTGGTCGTTCGAACTCACTTTAAAAACTTGTTGTCACTTCAAAAATGAGATTAATTTATTTAACACACTCAAAAGTGTCCAAACATTGTTCTAAATTAACTTCATAAAGCAATGAAACAAAAACTCCATTCATGCCATAAAATGTGCTCAAATAATGTTTGAAAGACTGAATCTCAACATTTAGGCTGCTGAAAACTCACCGTCCCACCTTTTGCACCCACAGGTGGGAGGAACATGACTACAGTCTCTGTAGTAGGCCTAAGAAAGCCATATTAAAATGTAGTATAGTCTACTGACCTAAAATAAATAGCATATTAAAATTTATTTCAATATCCCTACCAAACTGCTCATAATATTCAGTCTCACATTAGACAAATAAAACATTTATTTTAAACGGCTGCATCAGGGTGTGTGAAACAGACAGAGCAAATAAAAAATATTAAACACATTTGAAAGCAGTAAGTAGGCTGATCCTGCTGTAAAAACCTGTAGGCAACAACAGCCTTTTAAGAGCTTTTAATCAGTCTCTGTAGGATAATATCGTTATAGTCAAGAGTTTCTCCACATCACCGCTGCAAACATAAAGCAGCTTATTGGCTAAAACAGTCTGTGGGATTTCCTACAGATCGTGATGTCATTTTCCAAGAGAGCTGATTGGTCAGTAGGCGGCGTTTTCACAGCGTTGATCTCTTATCTGGAACATAACCTGCTCCGGGGCAGGTTAGCCGCTCTGCATCAGTTACCATGGAGATCTACCCAGTAAGAAGTGAACCACCGTCGTGGTGCTGAAAACCCAGCAGGGTTAACCCCGAAGTTACCTGGACAAGCTCAAATCCTGCTTCGTGGCCCCTGCTCCCCATTCACACCTGAGACCTTGTAACACTAACGAGGTCACATGACAACGCGGAGGGAAAATGGCTGATTGGGCCCAATTTGGACATTTTCACTTTCACATACACTGTGTGATGTGTTATTTTGAGGGGACAGCAGATTTACGCTGTTATACAAGCTGTACGCTCACTACTTTACGCTGTTCTACGAGCTGCACGCTCGCTACTTTACGCTGTTCTACGAGCTGCACGCTCGCTACTTTACGCTGTTCTACGAGCTGCACGCTCGCTACTTTACGCTGTTCTACGAGCTGCACGCTCGCTACTTTACGCTGTTCTACGAGCTGCACGCTCGCTACTTTACGCTGTTCTACGAGCTGCACGCTCGCTACTTTACGCTGTTCTACGAGCTGCACGCTCGCTACTTTACGCTGTGATACGAGCTGCACGCTCGCTACTTTACACTGTGATACGAGCTGCACGCTCGCTACTTTAC